ATACTTTTGGAGTAATATCCATTAAGGTCTACCCAGGGGCACCTGGGTGACTCAGCCAGTTAAGCATCTGCCTTCAGCTGAGGTCATGATCCCAGAGTCCTGGGATCGAGCCCCATGTCGGGCTCCCTGTTCATTGGGGAACCTGCTTCTCCCTCTCCCGCCTGCTCGTGCTCTCTCTCTCTCTTTCTCAAATGAATAAATAAAATCCTTAAAAATAAATAAATAAAAAAAATCATTTAAAAATATAGTCTGCCCAATTTTAATTGAGTTCTTTGTCTTTTTGTTATGGGGTTTAAGGGTTTTTTTTTTTTTTAAAGATTTTATTTATTTATTTGAGACAGAGAGAATGAGAGACAGAGAGCACGAGAGGGAGGAGGGTCAGAGGGAGAAGCAGACTCCCCGCTGAGCAGGGAGCCCGATGCGGGACTCGATCCAGGGACTCCAGGATCATGACCTGAGCCAAAGGCAGTCGCTTAACCAACTGAGCCACCCAGGCGCCCGGTTTAAGGGTTCTTTATATGTTCTGGATACCAGGCCCTTATCAGATATATCATTTGCAAATATTTTCTCCCATTCTGTGTGATGTCTTTTCTTTGTTTTTTTTTTTTTGTTTTGTTTTTTTTTTAAGATTTACTTATTCATTTGAGAAGGGGGCGGGGAGAGGCAGAGGGAGAGAGAGAATCCCAAGTAGGCTCGATCCCACAACCCATGAGATCTTGACCTGACCCAAAACCAAGAGTTGGACACTCAACCAAGTGAGCCACCCAGGTGCCCCTGTGGGATGTCTTTTCAGTCTCTTGATAGTATACTTTGATGCACAAATTTTAAAAATTTGATAAAATTCAATTTGTCTATTTTCCTTTTGTTCTTTGTTGATGTCATATCTAAAAATCCATTGCCAAAACCAAGATCATGAAGATTTACCCCTGTTTTCTTCTAAGATTTTTTAAAGGTCTTTGATCCATTTTAAGTTGACTCTTTTTTTTTTTTAAAGATTTTTTTTATTTATTTGACAGAGAGAGAGACAGCGAGAGAGGGAACACAAGCAGGGAGAGTGGGAGAGGGAGAAGCAGGCTTCCCGCGGAGCAGGGAGCCCGATGCGGGGCTCGATCCCAGGACCCTGGGGTCATGACCTGAGCCGAAGGCAGATGCTTAACGACTGAGCCACCCAGGCATCCCAATGTTTATTTTTTTTATTTAGTTTCTGCCTAAGCCTATTTTTTTTAAAGGTTTTTATCCATTTATTTGAGAGAGAGACAGAGTGAGAGAGAGCACAGGTGGGGAGGAGATTGAGAAGCAGTCTCCCTGATGAGCAGGGAGCCTGACACTCAATCACAGGACCCTGAGATCACGACCGGAGCCGAAGGCTGATCCCCAACTGACTGAGCCACCCAGTGTTTTGTGTTTTTTTTTAAAGCTTTTCACATTAAGTCAAAGCCTGTACCATTTTATGAGTAAAATCAGTGAAATACTCACCAATGTTTTCTTTGTTTTCATTTTTGGAAATTCATCATCATAGGCAATAAATATTGGTTGTTGGTGTCTTTGCCCTGATGTGGTCTAATGAAATGCGCTTGTAACAGACACCGGTTTGGGTCTGTGCACCGCGTGTCCAGACATTAGATGTGGGCACGGCTGGCTCCAGGTCACAATACTCTCCACGTTTATTTCATGGGAGAGTCTGTTTCAAGGAGTGAGGGAGCGTGGAGCAGACGACTACTGAGTAACACAAAACAACTACTTAGGCCAGTTTTTTTTTTTTCCCTTTCAAAAACCGTGCATTTATACCACACATGGCAACTGTCAAAAACACAGAAAACAACAAGTGTTGACAAGGATGTGGACATATCGGTGCCCTCATGCCCCACTGGTCAGGTTCTGATGGGGGCGGCTGCGGCGCCCTTGTCTGGGTGTGCACCCCAAAGAATGGAAGGCAGGGACTCAAGCAGATATCTGTGCACCATGTTCCTAGCAGCGTTATTCACAATAGTCAAAAAGTGGGAGGTTTTTTTCCTTAATCAAAAAGAAAAAAAAATGTCGTTTGTGACTTCTTGACTTAAAGCAAGATGAAAACCACCCCCTCAATCCTTGTGAACCACTGGGCTGGGAGGAAAGAGGGGCAGAGGGTTTGAACCTTGAAAAAGCAAACAACAAAGGGTAGTCATCCAAAGTGGGGCCATCTGTGCACCACTTTAAGGAAGATCAGAACAAGCCTTCCCACACTCCCAACAGGGCCTGCATTAACCTCCCTACATTGACCAGCCCTGAGGGAGGTCACCGTGTGGGCATGAGCAAGATGGAGTCAGTGTGGTCAGCACTCCTCCACCAAGCCTCAAACTCAAGCTCAGTCAGTTAAGCAGCTGCCTTCAGCTGGGGTTGTGATCTCGGGGTCCTCCCTGCTCAGTGGGGAGCCTGCTTCTCCCTCTCCCGCTCCCCCTGCTTGTGCATGCTCTCTCTCTGTTAAATAAATAAATAAGTCTTTAAAAAAAAATAAAGTAAAATAGATTCATTTAATTTAAGAGAAAATGTTTTTCTAAACTTACGGAAACGGCACATGAAACATGCAAGAGTAGAGGGCACCTGGGTGGCTCGGTTAAGTCTGTTAAGCCGCTGCCTTCAGCTCAGGTCATGATCCCAGAGTCCTGGGATCGAGCCCCACATAAGGGTTCCTTGCTCAGCAGGGAGCTTGCTTCTCCCTCTGCCGCTCCCCCTGCTTGTGCCCTCTCTCTCTCTCTCTCTCTGACAAATAAATAAAATCCTAAAGAAAAGAAGAAACATGCAAGAGTAATGTTCCAATAAATATGTGAAGTTGAAACAATGAGAAACAAAAATGTTTGTATGACCATGGAGAAAATTCTCACAAAAATAAGCCCAAATGTACACCTGCAACCCAATTCTTATAGCAGCAATGTCCACAATAGCCAAACTATGGAAAGAGTCCAGATGTCCATCGACAGATGAATGGATAAAGAAGAGGTGGTATATACATACAATGGATTATTATCAGTCATCAAAAAGAATGAAATCTTGCCATTTGCAATGACGTGGATGGAACTAGAGGGTATTATGCTTAGCGAAATAAGTCAATCAGAGAAAGACAATTATCACATGATTTCACTCATATGTGGTAATTAAGAAACAAAACAGAGACTCATAGGGGAAGGGAGGGAAAAATAAAATAAGATGAAATCAGAGGGGGAGACAAACCATAAGAGACTCTTGACTATAGGAAACAAACTGAGGGTTGTTAGAGTGGAGGGGGATGGGGGGAATGGGGTAACTGGGTGATGGGCATGAAAGAGGGCACGTGATATGATGAGTACTGGGTGTTATATGCAACCGATGAATCACTGACCTCTACCTCTGAAATGACTAATACACTATATGTTAATTAACTGAAGTTAAATTAAAAAATAAAAAAATTTAAAAAGCCCAAATGTAATTTTAACAAAAATGACTTTCTGTTACAGATGAAAGCATAATGCCAATTAAAAAAAGTTGTAAATAAATTGATTTTTTTATAATATTCCAGCATTTTAAAATGTGAAAGAACTTATGAAATATTGTATGTTGCTGCTGTAAGAGATGGTAAATGACACTCCATGGGGTTGAGGATTTTAAATTTGAATTAAAATATTTGCTAACATTTTCTGCAATGCCGGTTAATCATCATATGCAGCCCTCTCACAATGTGGGAATGTGACGTATAAAATCCCCGGTTCACTTCTGGATCTAAGTACTGCTTTTGGGATTTTATTGACAATTCCAGTTGCTACTGCCTCAGCAAAGCAGTTTCTCCAAATTGAAGCAAAGTAAAAAACAAAAAAGCAAAATCGAAAAACTATAATGACTTAGGAAAGCCTGTCTAATCTGGTGTTATGGTCAACAGAATACAAATTACGTGACAGATTTTGACTGTACCAACCAATTCGTAACTGGTGAAACGAACGCAGGGAAAGGAAGTCGCGTGGGATGAACACAGCAGTTTGGGAAAGAGGGTCTTCGGTGTCTCGGCCACCCCGCCTCCCATCACCAGGGCGCCCAGACACGGGGTACCGCGCTGACTTCCAGGCACAGCAAAACCCTAACTTCACGGAGAGCGTAGATGGCGTATATTTTCATCGTAAGTGGTGTCGAGATCGGAGGACTGCACACTTTCTATTCACCAGTGTGTGAACAGGGTCGCCTGCGGGAACTACCCGCGTTTGGAGGGAAGGCCCGCGGGTCCAGCGCAGACCACTCACCGGGGGCCCGAGGGACCGGGCAGACTAGTCGCGCTGAGGGGGGCGGGGGGGCGAGCGACGGGGCGGGGCTGCGACCGGGGGCCCGAGGGGCCGGGCGGGGCTGGACCGGGCGGGGCTGCGACCGGGGGGCCCGAGGGGCCGGGCGGGGCTGCCACCGGGGGCCCGAGGGGCCGGGCGGGGCTGGACCGGGCGGGGCTGCGACCGGGGGCCCGAGGGGCCGGGCGGGGCTGCCACCGGGGGGCCCGAGGGGCCGGGCGGGGCTGCGACCGGGGGGCCCGAGGGGCCGGGCGGGGCTGCCACCGGGGGGCCCGAGGGGCCGGGCGGGGCTGGACCGGGCGGGGCTGCCACCGGGGGGCCCGAGGGGCCGGGCGGGGCTGCCACCGGGGGGCCCGAGGGGCCGGGCGGGGCTGCCACCGGGGGGCCCGAAGGACCCGTCCCGGACAGCGCGCCGGCCGCCGTCATCCCTTCAGACCCAGCAGAGGGCGCCTCAGCCCCCGAGGCCGGCCCGCCGACGGTCGCCGTCCCGGGAGCCGTGGACCAGCGCCTGCGGCTCCCCAGTCCTGAGGTTGGGGAGTCCCAGCGCCACGGAGCCTCCCCTGCTCTCCCACCGCCCACCCTCCCCCGCGGGGCGAACGGGGTCTCCGCCCCGCACCCGGAGGCAGCCGCGGCGGGACCCGCCCGGCCGACGCACAGCCGCGAGAACTACATTTCCCAGACTGCTGCGCGCTCCCGGACTCCGCTTCCCAGCAGCGCCCGGGGCGTCCCCGAGGACTACATTTCCCAGAGTGCGGAGGGCAGGCCCACCCGTGCCCTCCCGGTCCCGCCCCCTCCACCTAGCCACCGCACGCGGCTGGAGACTCTAGCCCTGCCGGAAGCCGCTCTCCGGCGACGGGCAGGTGGGGCAGGGCGCAGGTGAGACGGCGCCAGGCGCCGAGGGTCCCCGCGGGAAACCCGGCGTGGCGAGCCGGGGCCCAGACCCTGGCTGTCCCCTGACAGCCGGAGAGTCCTGAGGGGTGCCGGGACTCCGAGGGCGTGGAAGGGGCGCCGTGGGCATGGAAGGGGCGTGGGACGAGTCCGAGCAGCGGTGGTGTTGCCTCACCGGCCTGCTGCTGCACTGCCCGCGGGGTCGGGAGCAGCCCATGTCGGGGCAGTATCCCCTCCCGGCGATGCTGGCCCTGGGGCCCTGCAGCCGGGCCAGGGTCATGCTGCAGGGGCCCAGGCAGATTTTCAGCCCCAGGGATAGACGCCTTAAGGGTGGTGGCGCCCTGGGGCCTGTCCAGTTCTGAGCCGGAAGCGCCACCTGCGCAGGAGGAACTAGGCTGGCCAAGGCTCTCCTGGACCAGCTGGCCGCGGGTGGGCACCCAACCGCAAACACAGCGTGCTGCCCCTTCCTTGCCTGTGGCATGTGAGCTTTGGCTGGGAGTAACCTTCATGATATGGGCCAGGAGCCCCCAGCCCCAAGATTGTCTGCCTCCCCACTTGTCAGCTCAAGATGTGCCATCTGTCCCCTTTCTTGGCCCAGTGTGGGTCTTGGGTTGGGCCTGCAGGGCAGAGACTGGAACCAGGCTCTCTTGGGTGGGTGGGAGCCCCAAGGCCCCTGTGCAGATCTAGGCAGAGGGCTCCCTAGGGAATGGGGTGGGAGGGGAAGACTCAGGCCAGCCGGGTCTCTGTGGTGCCCAGCAGGCTCTCTGTCATCCCGGGGCCAGGGGGGTGGGGGGTCGGTCTCATCCTGTTCTGCTTGCCACAGGAAACCCTGGGCTAGCCCGTGGATGGTTGCTGTGGGGTCCACTGCTAAGGGTAGTGACCCCAAACAGGGGCATCTCCAGGGAGTGGGGTTCCATCTGCCTCCCACTATTTGCCCCCACAGGTGCAACCAACATGAGTGAGCCTGGGGGATCAGTACGAATCCTAGTGACAGGTGGATCTGGGCTGGTGGGCAGAGCCATCCAAAAGGTGGTAGCAGATGGAGCTGGGCTGCCTGGAGAGGACTGGGTGTTCGTCTCCTCCAAGGACGCTGATCTCACGTGAGTGGACCCATCCCTGGAGCAGACCCTCCAGACTCAGAGCTCCAGGCCAGCCCTGTCCCTGAGCCTGGTAGCCTCATGTTTGGGTTTTTCCCTCCAGGTGGCTGGCCTGGCTTGGGTGTGTGCAGCTCTGCTTCTAGGCAAACATCCTCGCATCTATTCCTGGAAGCCCACACCTTCATAACAGCCAGTGCCTGAACTGGCCACTTTCCTTTTTGGCAGCCCCTCCTGCCATCAGCCCTGCCCCCTGCCACCAGCACCCCAACCCCAGGGTGCTAGTTCCTTCCCTCAGGCCTCCAGGGGGCCTCTGATGGCCTGGCTCCTCCCAGGGACGCTGCACAGACCCGAGCCCTGTTTGAAAAGGTCCAGCCCACCCATGTCATCCACCTTGCTGCAATGGTGGGGGGCCTGTTCCGGAATATCAAATACAACCTGGACTTCTGGGTAAGTGAGAGGGCCCCATGGAGCACTAGGAACTTCTTGGTAGGCTCCCCATGCTTATGTTTTGGCCCCAGGAAGTCCCTGAGGGTCAGACGGCACAACCTGGTGGGGGCAGTCCCTGTGGAGTCCCCAATGATCCACACTTGCTTGGTAGGTTGATGGGCATGCAGGTGAGCCTGGGGGCATTTGGCCCAATAGGAAAAGCCATGGAGCTGACCGGGGGTTGGGGGAACTGAGAGAAACCAGTATTTTCTGTTTGACCTAGGTAGGGTTAATTCCTACTCCCTTAGCCCCCTGGGCCTCTAGACCCTCCTGCTCCTGGACCTCTCTGGTCCAGCTGCACTGAACCAGGCCCACCACGCATTCTGGGGTGCAGAGATGTGAGCTGGGCTCTGGGTCTGAGGCATCTAGCCTGGGGGCGTGAGGTATGGCGGAAGGGGCAGGAAGAGAGCAGGGCTCTGCCTATAGCCTGGCTCCTGCCAGGCTGTGCCCCTGAGGGTTGGCCCCACCATCTCTGGGCATCTGGTCTTGGTATGATTCAGCCCTGCATCGGGCACAGGGATGGCAGAGGCTCAGATTAGATTCTGCCCAAGGCCCCTGTCACCCCAGGGCTCTCCTTGTCTTGTTAGCAGTCTTCCCAGAAGGCTGCCTAGTGGCCATCTCTCCCACTCCTAAGAGCGGTGCAAATGCCCAATTTCCTCCCAAGATCCAGAGAAGGTGGGGTCTGGGGAGGAGTAGGGCTGGTGGCTTCCCTGCTACTGGGTGGTATAGTTGGGTAGGCTCCTCTGGGGTAGGGGAATGGAGGGGCCCCTTCTCCCCATCCCTGCCCAGGGCCAGATGGTGCCTGCCCTCAGCAGCCTGTGTGGGTGAGGTCCAGCCCTGAGCTAGGGGGTGTGGTCCTGTCCTCCAGCCCCCCTCCCAGAGCCCAGGGGTGGGGTAAGGGTAGAAGGACTGCCTGCTAAGGAGGTAACAGGCTTCTATGGTTTCTGGAAGGTCTATGCTGGGAGGTTTTGCCTTGTCCCAGGAAGCAGTTAGGGTAAACTGGTTCAGGTGCTGCCCTCGTGGGAGGGGTCGGAGTATGTCCTGCTTCTGTCCCTGGAGGGGCAGGTAAGGACTGAAGTCCTGCCTGGAGGGGCTTGCATCTGCTCTCCCACCCTTCCACCCCCCCCCCGCCCACGTCAGAGGAAAAACGTACACATCAACGACAACGTCCTGCACTCGGCCTTCGAGGTGGGCGTGCATAAGGTGGTTTCCTGCCTTTCTACCTGTATCTTCCCGGACAAGACCACCTATCCTATCGATGAGACTATGGTGAGGGGCGGGGCCCGACGGGGGCGGGGCCCGACGGGGGCGGGGCCAGGAAAGCAAAGGCCTCCCCTGCTCTCCTAGATCCACGACGGGCCACCGCACAGCAGCAATTTTGGCTACTCCTACGCCAAGAGGATGATCGACGTGCAGAACAGGTCCTCCGCCCGGGTGCCCAGCCGAGACCCGACAGGAAAAGGGAGGAGGGCCCAGAGGGTTCCCCCGCAGGGCTCCCACGCTTCATGGCCCCTCTTTGCGGGCCTCCGGTTTTTCCATCCATGAAGCCAGGGCGGGTGCGGTGGGTCAGTGGTCCCAGGGCAAGGGCCGGAAGAGACGCTGGGACTTTGCAGGGCCTACTTCCAGCAGCATGGCTGCACTTTCACCGCTGTCATCCCCACTAACGTCTTCGGGCCCCATGACAACTTCAACATTGAGGATGGCCACGTGCTGCCTGGCCTCATCCACAAGGTGCACCTGGCCAAAAGTGAGTGCCTGCTTGTGGGGCCCCAGGGCCTCAGCTGGGAGGAGGGGTGGTGGTGGGCACAGCCCCCCCCCACAGCTGCCCCCTCCCTAAATCTGCAGGCAGCGGCTCCGCCCTGACGGTGTGGGGCACTGGAAAGCCACGGAGGCAGTTCATCTACTCACTGGTTGGTGCCTAGCTCTCCACCCAAACGTTTCCTGGCCTGCCATGCTGCTTGTGGGAAGGCCGTAGCCTGAGGGAGCCTGGTAAAAGAGCGGGGTCCAGGCTGAGCCTCCGGAGGAGCAGTCACTGGTGCCCCCCTGGGTTGCTGTAGGCACCTGGCCTCATGGGAGTCGCCAGGTGCAGCACTGAGCTCAGTGAGAGACACAACTCTCTGTTGGTGAGCTGGCTAAGAGCTGCCCAAAGGGAGAGACTTCTGGCCCCAGTGGAGCCTGGGCTGTGTCCTCACTGAGCAGGGGCACTTAGGAGGGGTGGCCTATGGCCCCATGTGGCCGTAACTTGTGGCCTCTGACCCTTTTTGACTTCTAGGACCTGGCCCGGCTCTTTATCTGGGTCCTGCGGGAGTACAGTGAGGTGGAGCCCATCATCCTATCAGGTGGGCACCCTTTGGCCTCTGCCACTAAAGCAGGACCAAACCCACGTCTGTCCTGAGAGCAGCTAGGTGGGGAATGACAGTATTGTGGGGGGCTGGGTGACAGCAAGGCCGGGCAGAGGAGGCCTGACCTGGCTGTTGGCACCCCGCTCCCCACAGTGGGCGAGGAGGATGAGGTCTCTATCCAGGAGGCAGCTGAAGCCGTGGTGGAGGCCATGGACTTCCATGGGGAGGTCACCGTATCCTTTGGCTCTGACGCACCCAAGATGGCTCTCCCCCTGGCCACTGGAGAGAGGAGGGGTGGTGTTCCCCCTGGGAAAGGCAGAAGAGGTTCAAGGGCAGGCAGGGACGGGGGGTGCCCCTTCTGCTGTGGCCTTGACCAGGCACCTAGTTTGATACAACCAAGTCAGATGGGCAGTTTAAGAAGACGGCCAGTAACGGCAAGCTTCGGACCTACCTGCCCGACTTCCGGTTTACACCCTTCAAGCAGGGTGAGCCCCCTGGTCCTCCCCTGGCTCTCCCACCCCATCCCGCAAGACCTCCTATCCCCTCCTTCCTGGCTTTGGCTTCTCTACTTCAAGCTGCAGACACCCTCAGGGTTTGGAGTCCAAACCTTTATCGGGGAGGAAGGACACAGAAGGGGTGACTGCAGGTGTCACTGGGGCCTCTGCCCTCCCCATCTCCTCCAGTGGAGATCAATGCAGCCCCAGCCCTCACCTGCCACCACCTGTTACCTGCCCCCCTCTGCAGCTGTGAAGGAGACCTGTGCCTGGTTCACCCACAACTACGAACAGGCCCGGAAGTGAAGCACAGTGTGGGAGCAGGCGCGGGCTGCCCCCAAGGCCCCGGAGGCAGCACCCTCAGACCCTGCAGGAGTGGAGGGCACTGCCCAGCAATCTGGGCCCACGTTCTCCCCTCCACCAGGGCGGCTCTGGGCAGCTGTGCAGTGGGGCCACCATTCATGTCTGTCCTCAGGGAAACCAAGGCCTGGCCAGGTTCTCCCAGCACCTTGCTCCCCAACACCAGTCCCAGGGTCCTGAGTGTGTCCCCTTCTGATCCTGCTCTCCCACTCCCTGGGAGCTAATAAAGTCCATTTTCCCAGGCCTGGCCCCAAAAGCTCTGTGCCAGCCATTCCTCCCCTCCCCCCCCCAACCCCAACACACACACACAGGCACTGTCTCCCTGAGCCTGGCTAACCCCAGGACCTACCGTTCACCTGCTGACTGCTCAGCTCTGGAGAGACAACTGGGCCAGGGAGGCTCACTGTCCCTGGAGTGGAAGGGCAGCAGCGGCTGGCCAAGTGGGTGTGCAGGTGAGAAGCAGGCAGGCTGCAGGGTAGAGGTGGTGGACAGTCAGTCGGTGGGGATACAGGGCAGGGTACCTGTAGCAGTCCCAGCGGGTGGTGTGGGCTCAGCTTAGCCTTTCCACATGAGGTCATATGCAGGCCTGGGTGACCTGAACTCCCTGGGCCTACCTGTCAGCACCTGAACTTTGCAGGACAAAGCTGGTCCTGGATTTGGACAGGCTGAGTAGGCATGTGGATGGATCCAAGCGGAGGGTGGTGAACAGACCCCAGGAGAGAGCTGTACCAGGCCTGGCCCCTCACCTCCCTGGCCCTCAGGTGGCAGCCTGTGATGGGGCCTGGCCTGCCCTTCTCCCCTGGACAGTAACAAGTGTCACAAAGGAGGGCCTGCTGGGCCTGGTGGGTAGGGGTGAGCAGCACAGACCTCCCCATTCTCAGCAGGAATCCAGCCAAGTCCCCAGGGTGGCCAGGCACTGCTGGGGTGTGGACCCAGGAGTGCACAACTCCAAAGCCCTGAGATACGTTCCTTGGCTCCAGGCCGGCCCTCCTCTCAGGTCCCCTCTCTTCTGGGTCACCCTTCATCATCTTCATGCTGGTGGCTCCCAGCTTTCTTCTGACCCCGGAAGTGCCTGGCGTCATGTTAATTCTTTCCTCTGTTCAGGCGTATTGGCTGTCTTCCCTGTGCCAGGCATGGCTTCCCACCTCTGTCCCTGTGCCCATCTGCACCCACCCTCTTCCCCCAGCGAGCTGCAGTGTTTACGCCCCAGGGCTCTCCCCCAGTGAGCTGCACTGTTTACCCCCGCAGGGCTCTCCCCCAGCGAGCTGCAGTGTTTACCCCCCCCCCCCCCGGCTCTCCCCCAGCGAGCTGCAGTGTTTACCCCCCAGGGCTCTCCCCCAGCGAGCTGCAGTGTTTACGCCCCAGGGCTCTCCCCCAGTGAGCTGCACTGTTTACCCCACAGGGCTCTCCCCCAGCGAGCTGCAGTGTTTACTCCCCCCCCCCCCCCCGCACTCTCCCCCAGCGAGCTGCAGTGTTTACCCCCCCCCCCGCACTCTCCCCCAGCGAGCTGCAGTGTTTACCCCCCCCCCCCGCACTCTCCCCCAGCGAGCTGCAGTGTTTACCCCCGCCCCCCGCACTCTCCCCCAGTGAGCTGCAGTGTTTACCCCCCAGGGCTCCTATGGGGCTGGCCCAGGACCTTCCTGTCAGTGCCTCCCCCACCTTTTCGGCCTCAACTGATGTGTTGCTTTCTCTGAGTGCCCACTCTGCTGCGGGATTCCTGTGTGCTTCTCTGGGAATGCCCGGAGCCTCTCCCTCCCCCCAGGACTTGGAGCTCTAGGACCTGGGTCAGCCTTCACTGTGTGTTCGCTGGGCTCCAGCCCTCTGTGAATGAAGGCTCTGCTCATGTCAGGGTTCAGGGAGGGGGTGGTGCCAGAGTCAGCCATGTGAAAACATACAGAGGGAGGCCCAGCCTAGGGGAGAGGCCTGGACACACTTGGCGGGACATAGATCGTGGCTGTGTGTCTTGATGAGCCACCCTCTACTGCTGTGAGTATGTGTGTGTGTTTACTGCAGAGGGGCCGTGCCCTCAGCCAGAATGCAGGTCCTCCAGGTGCAGGTCCCGCTGCCTATACTCTGCTGCTGTATGGCCTTCATCACCAGCCCAGAGCAGGGCCCACACACTGTGGGGGTAGTGTTGAATGAATGAGGGGATTTAATTGTTGAAGAGCTTAGACTGTGTCAAAGTAGAGTTTAGAATAACAAAACATTTTAAAAATGCAATCTTAAAAAAAAAAAACCTACAATCTTAGATCTTCAAGCCTTATTTTTCCTGTGTCAATTACAAATTAAAGTACTCCCACCCCTACCCTCCCCTCATTTCAAACATGGCCTCTTGCCACGGCCAAGCACTCCATCCGCACCCCCCACGCCGCTGGGACCAACAAGACGGGCCAGGTCTCCGCTGGGGACCCAGGCCTCAGGAAGGCCTCTCCTGCCTTCTTGCAGCAGCCTGGGAGGCCCAGGAAAACCAGGATCCAGGCTGGCTGGAGGAGCTCCTCTAATCCGGTAAAGCGACAGGCCCCTGCTCACACATTTCACTGGCCGTGCCCAGGTTATGCTGTCACCCGGACCCGCTGCACCTTGGAGAGGGGCTGACAGCAAGCCCCGACCAGGCAATCCTGCCCTCCGCACCCGAGTCCACTCCCAGGTTCCAGAGAACCAGGGCGCCCTGAGGACGCGGCTCCCACCCAGGGAAACCGGCCTAAGGCTGGCAGGGCTTCGCTCCCCAGCTCCTGACATGTCCTGACGGTGGGCCAGGGTCCGGACCTTGCCTGTCCCGGTCTTTCATCAGAATCAGGGCGGATGCTTCCTCCTGGAAGCTAAGCTGCCCAGCGGCCACCCGCCAGTGCTTTCCCAGACTCTGCAGCGTCCCCGCGAGGGACACCCACCAGGCACGCTCCAGGGCGCGGACCTCCGGGACAGAGTCAGAGGAACCCCACCCTTTCCGACCCTTCGCCTTTGAGTGGAGCCTCTCAAGCTGCCCTCTCGCCTTCGGCACAGGTGCCACGTCCTCGGCCTTTCGTGGGGCACCGCGAGGCCTATAGGGTGCCCCGCCCCGCCCCACGCGGCGCCCCACAGCGCCTCGCTCTCTCGGGCCAATGAGCAGCGTGGGGAGGGACTCGCTGCTGAGCGAACCTAGAGCTCGGAGCCCGGAAGGGGGTGGGCGGGGCGTAAGGTACCGGTAACCAATCGACGATGACGGGGGCGGGGCGGCGTAGCCCATTGGCGGGGCCGAGGGCGTGGGGCGGGGCAAGGCCAGGCCAGGCCGTGGCGAGATGGCGGCGGCGGAGACGCAGGGGATGGACCCGCTTCGCGTGGGCTTCGTGGGCGCGGGACGTATGGCGGAGGCCATCGCGCAGGGCTTCATCCGAGCAGGTGGGGCGCCGCGGGAGTGCGGCGCGTGGGTCCCCGGGTCTGGGAGCCAGCGGGCGTCCGACGCGCGCCCGGTGTGCGAGGGAAGGGTTCACCTGCGCGCTGCTCACCTGCCTGGAGGGATGCATCCCGCAGAGCTCCTGGGCGAGGAGCGAGGGCCACAAGGGAGCCCTCCGCGCGGGGTCCTCAGGGTGCAGCGGGTTCGGCCGGGCGGGCGTGGGCCAGGGCGGATCGCGGCCGCTGCCCCTGCGGACTCCGCTTCCTCAGCACAGCAGCGAGGGGTGTGCGTGGGTGGCGTAGAGCTGGTTGTCCCCGCAGGGGCCGTGAGCCACGTGGGGCCACAGAGCACCTGAGATGTGCTGCGAGTTTGTAGAATAAAATCTGTCGGGTTTGGAAGATGTAGCACACTCGAAAAACGAGAAAGTAACATATTTGAGTAATTTTTAGTGCTGACTAAAACCAATATTTGGAAGGGTAGTATTTTGTTTACACCGGGTTAAATAAAATGTATTAGAGTTAACTTTATCTTTCTCTTTTACTTGCTTAATGTGACTACTAGAAAATGTGAAGTTAGGTATTTGGCTCCGGTGATATTTCCCTCGGACAGCACTACCTTAGAGCCTGGAATCTCCCACTAACTTCTGGTCTGCTGCCTGGGTCGAGTGGGTTGACCTTTGAGACTCCGATTCTGTTTTCTCCTCCTGTGCCAGCTCCACTGCGGTGGCAGGCTGCAGGTTTTCTCCACGTGGGCACTGTGGACGTTTGGGTTGGGATAATTCTCCATCCTTCACATTGTAGGGTGTTTAGCCACTTTGCTGGTCTCTCCCCACTAGATGTTAGTAGCACCCCCCAATTATGACAGCCAAAGCTGTCTCCAGAGGTTACCACATGTCCCCTGGGGTTGGAGGGCAAAAACTTCCCGGGTGGAGAACCACTGGTTTATTGCAAGGCAGGGCAGTGCTGTCCTGGTCTTACTCCACGGGTTTTAGAAACCTTGACGTGCAAGTTATGGGCTGGCTTTCTGTCTTCAGCCTCTGTCAAGGTTCAGAAGGGTCAAAATCATCAGAACGTAGTTGAGTGCACGTCTCAGGTGTTTTACCTGTAGAACCTGGCAGTACCGCCTTCCTCCCAGGGCTGTACAGGTTCAATATTGAACACAGTACCGGTATGTGTGGGCATGCGTGGTGGTGTCACTGTCCTGACCAACTGGCTCTGTGTTCAGGTTGTGAGGTGCGCTTCTGCCTTCCTGTTAGACCTTGCAGAAACTTAATCTCCCAGCCCTGTACGCCACAAATGCAGATGATTTCTACCTGATGGGCTCTGAGCCTCTGCTTGGACATCCCAGCACAGATGTACCCCCAACACCCAGGGAAGCTCAGCCCCTATTGGGCCCCCCTCCCCACCGTGCCCCCTCCTCCACCCTAGCCTTCCTGTCCCCGGAGGCTGTGTCCTCATGAGACTAGGCAAGCTCCAGGCCCCTGCATCTAGCCCCCGTGGACTCAGCAGCAGCAGGCAGGTGGTGATGACTGACAAGCAGGATAGAATGGAGCTGAGCACCAGGGTGCACCAAACGCCCCTGCCAGGCCCTTGGGTTCTCACAGAGCGTCAGGCAAGCTAGGGGCCAGGATGGCTGAGCATGAGAGGCCCTTCAGGAAGGGGCAGGCCGGGCTGGTTCCTGCTCTTCCTTCCTTCCACTCCACCTCCTCACAAACCCTTCTGCTTTTGCTTTTCTCTCCAGGAAAACTAGAAGCTGAGCACATACTGGCCAGTGCACCAACTGACAGGAACCTCTGTCACTTCCAGGTGAGCTGGGCCCCAGCTCTTCTGAGTTGAGGCTTTTCTGGGGGGCTCATGGTGGCTCTTGGCCCCTGTCCCTCTGAGACAGTTCTTGGGGCCAGGGAAATGCTGATTATTTAGCTAAACTTTTGAGATGGGCTGGGCTGGGGAAGGGGAGGTCAAAGACCAGAAGGAAAGCCAAGGTTGGGGAAGGCTAAGGCAGAGTGAAGGGTGTGTGTGTGTGCGCGCACGCGCACTCATGTAAATGCACGTGTGTACACGTGTGTTGGGGGGCAGAGATGGTTGTGGGCACTCACTGGGGTCAAAGGGCACAAGGAAGTGCTGACATCAGGGGTCCTGTGAGGTGCAGGGTTGGTCCTGAGCAAGAATGGATGGTCTGGGTGAGTCTTGGGCTTTGGAAGTGGGGGTGGTGCAGGCATTTGCAATGGGAGAGACCCATGGGGACCCCTGGGAATGCAGGGTGGCCTCCAGCAGGAAGGGCCATGGTCTGGGAGGCTGTCCCATTTACCCCAGCCCTGATCCCACTGTCCCCACTGCAGGCTCTGGGCTGCCGGACCACCCACTCCAACCAGGAGGTTCTGCAGAACTGCTTGCTGGTCTTCTTTGCTACCAAGCCTCATGTCCTGCCCACTGTCCTGGCCGAGGTGGCCCCTGTGGTAACCACTAAGCACATCTTGGTGTCTGTGGCTGCCGGGGTCTCTCTGAGCACCCTGGAAGAGGTGAGTTGCCTGTGGGGGTTATGTGGGAGCTGAGGCTCTGACCTCAGAGTCCATTCTGCTGGTCAGAACTTCCCACCCTTTGCCATCCCAGACTGGTGCCAGCCTAGGTTTAGCCCTTTAGGAAGGTGGGATGGGTGAAACCTGTGACAGACAGCCTCCCAGACCAACCCCAGCCCAAAGAGGAGGCCAGGTGACCAAGGGGGCTGGGGCTTAGGTTCCTGCTGGCACCCCAGCCAGGACACAGGGGAGGGAGCCCACAGCTGGCTGAGGCCTGGGTCTGCCTGACGGGGCCAATCCCACATGATCCCTGACTCCAGCTTCTCTCTGACCAGCTGCTGCCCCCGACCACACGGGTGCTGCGGGTCTCACCCAACCTGCCCTGCATGGTTCAGGAGGGGGCCATAGTGATGGCACGGGGCCGCCACGCCGGAAGCAGCGAGGCCAAGCTCCTGCAGACCCTGCTGGAGGCCTGCGGGCAGTGCGAGGAGGTACCTGAGGCCCACGTGGACATCCACACTGGCCTCAGTGGCAGCGGAGTGGCCTTCGTGAGTGTCGTCTCATCCCCCACCCCCAGGTCAGCCCTTGGCAAAGCGGAGACTTCTCAAGTCCCTGCAATGACCTAGCCTTTGGGATTCGATGACTTGGTTCCCGGGCTGCCTGTGAGCTCTACTCTCTGCTACATCGTTGCCTTCCTGGGCCTTTGTCCAGTCAGACCCCTGGGCTCAAGCCTCAGCCCTAATTCCTGCATGGGTGGCCAGTGCTCTGGGCCATGTTCCTGAAGGTTCTGAGCTGTCTCCAGACTGGGTGCTACGTGCAGGGGAGTGTTGGCTTTGACAGTCTCCACCCCGCTCTGCTACAGGTGTGTGCCTTCTCCGAGGCCCTGGCCGAAGGTGCCATCAAGATGGGCATGCCGGGTGGCCTGGCCCACCGCATTGCCGCTCAGACCCTGCTGGTGAGTGAGGGCAGCCCCCGCGGGGTCGTGTGAAAAGGGATGGGCTGCTATGTCTCCCAGGAGCAGCGGGAAGGGGGACAGCAGGTCCAAGAAGCCTGGATGAAGATCTGGGATGGGGGTCGGGGGTGGACCCATGACGAAGCAGGCTACGTGGGGCTGAGCTGGAGAACGGGCTGCCCGCTTCCCTTGAGTCACCCCCAGGGCCCCTCTCCCCAGGGAACAGCTAAGATGTTGCAGCAGAAGGGGCAGCACCCAGCTCAGCTGCGGACAGACGTGTGCACGCCGGGCGGCACCACCATCTACGGGCTGCACGCCCTGGAGCAGGGTGGGCTTCGGGCCGCCACCATGAATGCCGTGGAGGCCGCCACCTCCCGGGCCAGGGAGCTCGGTGGGAAGTAGGGAACAGGCAGGGGCTGTGGGCTGCCCCCAGTCCCTCCTTCCTTGCCCCTTCCCCAGGACTGCAGCTCCCCCACCACGCAGGAGCCTCCTGGCTGCCCCCCGACCTCCACACGAGGAAATGAGAAGGGACAAGACGGGAAGGTTTCACAGGCAGGGGATCCCCTCACCATGGGAACCTCCCCCCCCCCACCGCAGGGCAGAAGGCACCATGGCAGTGGCCCGCCGTCAGGTCTGGGGATGTGCTGGCCAGGTGCCCCGTGTGCTCAGCTGGTGGGTTGGGGGCAGGAGCAGGGCTGCTGCTGGAGCAGCTGGGTAGGCCCTTCCGACAGCTTTCTGACTGCAGCCAGCTCGGGGGCGGGGGCGGGGGCGGGGGCGGGGGGGCACCCAAACACCGCACAGGAGACCGGCTCCCCCTCAGTGAAGCCAGCACTGGTAGGCCCCCACATCGGTCTTGTCCTCGGGTTGACCTGCCATGGCGGGGGGCGTCACCCGCAGGGAGCTAGCCCCTGAGAAAACAACGGGGCTGGCTGCCCTTTGCTCTTTGCCTGGCTCAGGAGGAGCTGCACCGGGTCCTTCCCTTGGGAGCCCCCACGAACAGAGCGCTGGGCGGATGGGCCGCAGTGCTGATCAGCAGCAGGCCAGTGCAGGGAGGTCGGGCCTAGCCGGCTGCAGAACAGGGACTTGGCTCCAGCTGGGTGTGGGCCCCCTCCCCCAGCTAAGCTCCTGGCAAGTGGCAGGTGGAACCGGCCCTGATGACCGTTCCCTGGGTTGTCCTGGAGGGTCTCCTGGCCTGGTCTCTGACTGCAGGACATGGCTCTTCGGCACATCCCTGGCCAGGAAAGCCAGGAACTTGGGTCCCACACCAAGGCCATGGGGCCTTTGGGTGGAGGATGGGCTGCCTGCCTCTTTCCCCGACGCTGCCCCTGAGACTCCTGGAGCCTCCCCACCCCACGAAGGCCCCGGAGTGCTGGAGCTCCCCTCACTTCCACCCGGTGGCCTACTGAGACTGGGCCAGCCACAAAGTGGAGCAAGCTGCCTCCAGTTTACCAGCTGAGACTTGAAGCAAATCAGCCCTATCTGCACGTGGCTGATAGCACCCCCACAGCAGTGCTCCCCCCGCTCACGCTCCCGTGCTCCATCCCCAGCCTTCGGCCTGTCCTCCCACGCACATCCCCAGACCTGCTGCCCCCCTCCCCGCCGTGGTCCTTCCTTGGCCAACGGGCCCTTCCACCGGTCAGAAGGGTCCGCCCGAGGCCATTTCCACACCTGACTGATCTGTGAGATGGGAATAAAGGCACCGTCTGCACCGAGTGACTGATATCTAGGCTGATAAAGCAGATTGCAAGGGCCTGGAAGTACACCTGAGCCGAGGCTTGAGACCTGGGAGCAGGTGGTGTGGGGGCAGAGGTCACCCACACCTTGGCTGTACAGCACCAGCATCTGAAAGCTCTGATGGGTACAGTCTTTGGCGTCCTCCCTAGCCCAACCGCATCCTCCAGTGTATGTTGGTGGGTTCAGCGATGCGTCTTCCCACCCAGTCTCCGAGAACCTGAGCGGGTTGGCTTGTGGGGCAGAAGACGCACCTCTGGCCAGCCCTGCCGTGAGCGGCCACTCGCGGAATGAGAGGCGCCTCCGTGAGCCCCCGGCCCAGCTGGAACGGCAGTCGTGCCCCAGGTGGTGGTGGGCCTGGACAGGACAGGAGTGGTGAGAGTGGCTTTGGGGGCCAGGGCTACAGCATGACCATCGGCCAGACACACTCACCTTCTGGCCCAACGCTCAGGTTACTTTGTCAAGAGACCGGGGGAGAGAATTTCCCTTTTCATCCGTGCTTTATATCTTCGTTACATTTTCAAATTATGAGGTGTTCTAGATCTAAGCATTGGGTCAAAAGTTACAAAATTAAGACTTCAGAAGTACCTGGTTGGCTGAGGCAGTAGAGCATGAAACTTGGTCCTCGGGGTCATGAGTTCAACCCCACGTTTGGTGTAGAGATTATTTAAATAAGAATATCTGCCAAAATTCAAAAAAATATATTAAAATAAGACTTTAGAACAGGGATGCATATGAAATTGACATGAACCTTTATTATAAAGCACGTTGGGCCTACCTGACTGGGTGAATTCCTCCCTCAGGGATGGGTGTGAAAAGGCCCCTCAACAGAGCATGCATCCCAAAAGCCCATGGTCCTCAAGGACACGCCCCTGGAGTCAAGGCTAGCCTGTGGGCACCCTTTTCTGGGCACAAACAGTGCCCAGCGCCCAGCCCCCCTCCCGGGCTCCCCGCAGCAATCCTGACTCACTGGGCTGGGACCTGGGCTGGGGGTCCCCGGAGGGCACACTCTTCCCTTCACCACATGCCGACATGGTGCCCTGCAGCCCCCCGGCTGTCTGGGGGTGGCTTCCCAGGCATGTAGCCCCCTTGGGCAAGGCCATGCCTCTCAGACAGCTCCCTCTGAGGGTTGCAGCTTAGTCTCACCCCCACAGAACATGCAGGTCAAGGGCGGTTTTAGTAGAGCCTGCACACCGGCTTGTCTTCATCCACGTGCCTCCCCTCCCCAGCCCGCTGCCAAGCCCACTGGATGCCCTAACGATAATCCTGACCAAGAGCCACTTTTGGGAAGAGCAGCAAGCTTTGCTGCTGTGAGTGTTCAACCATTCTGCAGAGAGAGACTCTGGGGTCCCAAGTGCACCCTTGCCCAGTGCCCATGGGGGCCCTGAGGTCTGCCTCTCCAGACTCCCCCAGCGGCATGCCTGGCAGAGCAGAGGCCAGGGCCTCCCAGCCCTAGGTCCCTGAGTTGCCATCGGATGTTACAAAAGGGAAGACTTCCTGAAGCCCCATGCCAGCTGCTTGGGTTAGAGTCCCAGGGCCAGCCACAGACGGCAGCCACATACGGCCAGAGGCGCCTGCAGGGGCGCGGGCTGGAGACAGCTAGTGAGTGGACGGGCCAGAGGGGCCCCAGCTGGGGGCCCCTGCTCCCAAATTCTTCACACCTTCCCTCAGCTTTCAGATTTGAGACACATGGATGTGACACACACACTCTGACCGGGGACAGTTCCACGGAACAACTTATGTTCTCAGACTTGTGGGGAAGCTGCTCTGGGGGCTCCCTCCAGCTGCCTCGGCAGTGCCTGGCCACCCCCTCCCATGGACACACCGTGTGCCTGCAGCCGCCTGGCTACTGCTGGAGGATGTGGGGCAGGTGGGGGTGAAGGGAGGACGGAGGCAGGCAGCACTCAGACCTGGCCCCCGCCTCTCACAAGCGCTCTGGGCAGCACCTCCCCCAAGGCCGTCCCTCGGAGGCCCGGGCACCGCCGGACTCTGAACCTAGAGCTGGCCAGTGACACATGAACCCTTTCCTCCTCCTCTCAAACGGAGCCACTCAGAAGCCCAGTCCCTGGGGCTACGGGAAGCAGCTCCATACCCTTGGTAGTGCCAGGAGTTCCAATGGAGGAGCACTAAGGCACTGTAGGATTGTCCCCGTATGGCTGTCAGTATCGCAGGCCCGCTCCGGGTAGATGGCGTGGCTCTGGGCCTGGCTGCTGGTCCAGGGAGCTTGCTCAGTCATTGGCCAAGTCACCAGGGGCCCAAGTCTAGAAGGCTGCTAACCCCATAGAATAAGAGAGCAGTTTGGGAATGGAATTTTCTTAAGGAAAACTAACAGTCCCAGTGGAACAGAAATCTACACTTGCTGCTGCATCTGGAACCTCAGGATCCCCAATTGCCGGGCACCACCCTCCCTTCCCAGCCTCTATAGAGCCAACCTCCAAGAGCAGCCCCAGGCTGGGGAATGAGACACCACCCTGGGCCCCAGGCAGGTGATGGGGGGCTGTAAAAACGGACTCCGCGTGGAGATCTCCACATGGAGACTGCATGGCTGTGGCATGGGAACCATGAAGCACCAGAGCTCCAGACTTACAGGAGTGCTGGCCCCTTGTCCAGTGCATGTGATGGGCCACCCCGGAGGAGGGCAAGAGGTACGGACAGGCATGGAGCCCAGTAAGGGCCAGGGCCAGAAAACCGAGAGCTGCTCTGATTAGTGCGCTACGTTGTTCGTGGCAGGTGTGTGTGGCAAGGGACCCTGGCAAAAACCACAGACACCACGAGTGTGCTTGTGCAGGGAGGAGGTGTATGAGCCCAGGGCCCCTCTTCTAGCTCCCCTCAGGAGAATGGGGGACCAGTGGAGCAGGATGATCCTCCACAACAGAGCCCCTCCAAGTCAGCCTGGGGGCCAGGATCCCTGGAGCCCCCTGAGCCATGGGGTGGGCCATCCCAGGGGAGGGAGGGAGGGGAAATGGAAGACTGTGCGTGTCTCCTCCCTCCAAGTGCAGCAGGAGAACAGCCGCTGGGGGGCCACTCAGGCTGGCCTGGTCACACCCCATCCTCGGGGACTGCACGAGAGGGACCAATGCCCCCCAGCCTCCGGGCCATGCTGATCAGTGAGCGCAGCTGCACCAGCTTTGGTGGCCCCACCTCCCGGGGGTCCTGATTCTCCAGCCACCGGAGAGCTGTCTCCAGACCCCGGACAGCCTCCCCAGCAGTGGGCACGGCAGCCTCCTCCTCCTCCTCCCCACCTCCCACGACAGAGGGTAGGCTAGCTGGGGGTAGAGGGGCAGCAGGGGCCAGCACAGGGGGCCGGCCAGGGCCTGCCTCCTCCCTGCAGCTGTCGGGCAGCCCCCCATCATCGTCCAGATGCAGCCACGTGGCCACCTCCTCGGGCGCCAGGCGCTTGTAGGCCAGGGCTGCCAGGTGCGTGAGGTCGCTGAGCACCCGGCTGTGCTCTGCAGCGTCCTCGGCCTGGCCGGCCGGCTGCCCAACACACTCCTCAGTGGGCCGGGGCTCGAAGGCCGCCCGCAAGCCGAGCAGCCAGCACCGCTCAATGCTGCCTGCCTGCACCAGGTCCCAGGAGAGGCCGGCCAGGTAGAGCATGTCCTTGAGCATGAAGCTGCGCATGAAGTCCAACGGGGAGCCCCCCGCACAAGACACAGCTAGCCTCAAGAGCTCCCGCTTGTATAGCTGCTTGAAGGCGGCCACCACCCCCTGCTCCAGTGGGGCAGGGATGTGTGCCCGGCTGCTGCCCTTGGACAGGAAGAGCACCCGCACAGCACCATCCGGGGTTTGCAGCTCTTCGGGGGGGCTGAGGGGCTCGGGCCGACACCGCCGCAGGGTCTCCTCGCTCTCCTCCAGCGCGGGCACCCTGGCAGCGGGGCTTGGGCAGGGCGGGTGGGCCACCAGCAGCACGGCCTTCTGCTGCAGGCAGCTGCGGCGCAGATAGCGCCTCACGCCGGGGACGAACTCCTCGAAGAACCAGCCCCGCAGCAGAGGGCGACTGAGCCAGGCGTCCGGGCTGTAGCGGTACGAGGCGGGGAACTTGTCCTGGTTGTGGTGGCGCAGGCTAGGCGGGTCCGGCAGCTGCCCGATGACCAGCGGCTTCAGCTTGTGGCTACCGGTCAGGTTGGCGGCCAGCAGCACGGTCACCCGGTCACCCCGCCAGCGCCGGCCGCAGCCCCCCGCGCCGAGGTCTCCCGCGCCCAGGGGCGCGGCCTGCTCCGGAAGCAGCTTCCAGTAGAGGCCAGTGACGTTTGCGTTGTAGATCTGCTCGTCGCCGTAGCCGCCCTCGGCGGGGGGCGGCGGGGCCGCGGCCCGGTCGGGCAGGGGGCCGGAGCTGGAGCCGGGCGGCTGCGCGGGCTCCTGCTTGACGGGCGGGCCGGGCGCGGGGCCCGTGGCCAGAGGCTCGGCCTCGCCGTAGATACGCTGGCTGGAGATGCCGTGGCGCTTCTGCCAGCGCCAGAACCAGCCGTGGCTGGCCTTGAAGGTGCACTCGGGCCCATAGATCTGGCGCGCGAAGGCCTCGGCCTGCGCCTGGATGAGCGGCCCTGACAGCGGCACGCCGTGCTGGCGCAGCGCCAGGAACCACGAGTAGACGGCGCGGTCGATCTCCTCCTCGTTGGCCAGCCGCATCTTCTTGCGCTGCGTGCCCACCTCGCCGCCCAGCTGCTCCAGGAACCAGCGCAGCTTGGGCTCGTCCTTGAGCCAGCCGCGCAGCGTGCCGCCCGGCACACCGAAGTCGCGGCACACGCTGGCCTGCCGCTCGCCGCCCTTGACGCGCTCGATGGCCTGCAGCTTGTCCTTGATGGAGTAGGCCTTGCGGAAGGCCATCTTCACGGCCACGCGGGGCCGCGGCCCGGGCGCCGTGGGCGGCGGCCGCACGGCGGGGGCCGGGGTGGGCGCGGGGAGCCGCGGCGGCTGCGCGGGGCGCCCGGGCAGGGGGTGGCGGCCGCGGCGCGGAGCTGGGCCGCCCGGGGGGCCCGCGGGGTACATGGCTGCGGCGGCGGCGGTGACGGCGGCGGCGGGGGCGGGGGCGCGAGGGCCACACGCCGGCCCGGCCGGCCGCGCGGGGCGGGGCGCTGGGGGCGGGGCCGGCCGGGCCCTCCCCTTTGTCTCGCCAGCTCTGGGGGCGCAGGCGCGCAGGCCCCGCCACCCGGCCCCGCCCCGCGCGCCACCCGGCCCCGCCCCGCGCCGCGCGTCCTCCGGCGCGTGCGGGCTCTTCCGCCCCGCCCCAGCCCGGCGAGTCCACTGCGCCGGCAGCGGAGGGGGGTGGGCGAGCTGCGGTCCTGTTCCGGCTGCCCGTTCCGCGCCGTGGGGACGCAGCGAGCCCCGCGGTGGCCTCCCACCGCCTTCCGTCTTTGCGGCCGCGGGGAGTGTCGCGTCGCGCAGAGGGCCCTGGCGGCGAGGCGGGCGGGGCGCGGGGGCCGCCTCCCCTGCGTGCGCTGTCCGCGGCGCGTGGTACGTCCCGCTGCTTCATTTCCCGTGCGCGGCCGCGCCGCCGTTTCCTCTCCCCAGCCGTCCGGCGCCACGAGCCCTCCTCCTCGGTCGCCGCGTCCTTGGCAGGTGTGAGTGCCACAGCCCGCGCCCAGAGGAGCCGCGCGCGCCGCGGGGGCCCCGGCGGCCGGGGCGGGGGGCCGGGCTGCGCCCGCGGCTCTGCGGCGTCGGGGCCCGGGGCGTTGGGGCGGGGGCCTGAGCGCGGCGGGCGCGGAGGGGCGGGGCGCGCGGCCACGTGGCGGGCCGGACCCCGCCGCAGCCCCGGCGCGGGGGCGACGGCCGGGGCTGGGGGTGGCCGGGCTCTTCCTTCGTCTAGCGCGCGCGTGTTGGGTACCTGCTGCGCGCGGTCTTGGGCCTGCGGGCCAGGCTCCGGCCCAACCCTCGTGGAACCCTGACGGTTCTTGGATGCGAGAAAGAGCAAAGACGCGTCTGCTGAGGGACTCGAAAGAAACGCGCCCGGTTCTCTGAGTGCCCGGGAGCCACGATTTGGATAAGGTGGCCCCGGCAGGAAGCGCCGTAGCAGCCAGTGTCTGAAGGGGTGTGGGTACTTCCTCCCGGAGACAGAGGGGCACTGAGCGGACGGGAGAGGGAAAGGCTCCTCCTGGAGCCAAGGGGTGGTGTGGGATGGAGGCTGAATGTCAGGGTTCCCAGAAGGAAGGGCCCGCCCGGAGCAAAAGACATTTTTGGCTAAACTTGGTGGGAGGGGGTCCCTGTCCGAGCGGGAGCACCTCTTTAATTGACCCTGGCACATCCCTCCCTGAGGGAGTGGGCTTGACCTGCGGTTGGGAAGGACATGTTTTAGGAGGCGTCCGCTGGAGCGGCTCTGACACCCCGCCCTTCTTTGGGTACCCTGAGCCTGTAAGTGGGCTGTCTCAGATGGGATCCGGGGCTTCCTGAACCTTCCTGTGCCTAGCCCCGTGGACAGCATCATCTTACGGAGTGACTGGCACACAAACCTGTCACCTCTGTAGGTCAGTGTTCTGGGCCTCCTGCCAGTCCTGGGGAGTGCCCTCTGGGCGGGTCTTCCCTTCTCTGGAGTGGGGCTTACAGTGAGGTTCACGGCCTGGGGAGAGCCCTTGATGGGCCGGAGACAGCTGCCCTCCGGAGGATCTGGTGCAGGGCCATCTCCCCAGCGTTGCTCCTGGGGAGCAGGGTGAGGCTACCAGGGTGGGCAAAGGTGCTTGACCGATGTTTTCATGAAAGCAGTTTTCTTGAAGGTGATTTTTTTTTTTTCTTTTTTAAAGATTAACCAAAAAATTATCTCTGGCATCTGATGCAATGGTATCTTCCCCTCACTGACTCAGGGGCTTCCTTTCCCCACTGCAGTTGTCCACTGTGTGTGAGGCCTGGGGACGCACACACGAGGACTCAAGTGTGCGCAGAAAGGTTGGGGAGCATGTGCAGTACTGGGGTCTCCCCGAGGGAAGGGGGCACAGGGATCAGGCTGGTTAGCTAAGACCAGGCTCTGGCAGCTAGGACAGAATAGAATGGATAGGCTGCGGCATTTGAAGTACGGACATTGTTGTGCCTGCCTGGGGTGATGCGGGCAGCTGCAGTGGGAGCCCTGAATCTGATGGCGTGGGGGCCCCCTTTCTGCCAGCAGGACAGGTTGATATTTCTAAGTGGGGCTTGGAGTTCCCCCTGCAAAAGGCAGGTGGCATCCCTGCCTTGCACAGCTAGCCTGCGTGTGGAGCCACGCTGTCCCGGGCTACCCCTCTGTGAGGCAGGTACCCCTCTGTGAGGCAGGTACCCCTCTGTGCGGCTGTCCTTGTTCACTCAGACATGCCAAGTGCTTGTCACTGTCCCTCCGACACGGAAGGTACCATGGAAAGCATTGCTGTGAAGCACGGTCTGACTCTGGGGGCCCAGGGGAGATGCAGCTGGCCTGCAGACCCCTCCCTTCCCCATACACTCATGTGGGTTCCCACTTCCCCTAGAAGGTGGGCAGAGCTCCTCCGAGTGTGTGACTGGTGGAGTGGTGTCCAGAGGATGGGGAAGTGGTGTGGAGGGCAGAGCCTGGGGAGGGGCCAGCCCTTCCCAGAAACCTTCCCCATTCACCCAGGCTCACAGGGACTGACAGGCACCTGGCCCTTGGGTGGACACAGCTGCGGTGGGCCACACCCTTCCCTTCCAGGCCCTCCAGCCAGGAGTGTCCTTTGGGGGGCCGCTGCCAGGTTCCTGTCCCAGCTCTGAGAAGAGCTCTGTCTGCCCTTTGGGGCACGGAGTCATTTCCCTGCAGTCAGAACGCAGACTGCGCCAGGCTGGGATGGTTGCAGAGAAGGGGCCGTCTGTAGCCAGGCCCAGCTCAATCCGCTCTCAGGAGCAGAGGGTGGGGACACCTGAGGCCCCTTCCTTCTGGGTCTGTGCTCTGGCGTTCCTCAAGTTTGTTCCTCATGCTTCTCTCTATTACCGGCTAGCCATTGCCGTGCCGTCTGGAGAGATGGTAGGGGAGGGGGTCCACCTGGTCCTCGGGCAGCCTGGGGTCCCCACTGTGTGGCTGGAGGCTTGCACGTTTGTGTTCTCTGAGGGGATCATTCAGACTCAAACTTGCTTTTCTCCTAGGACAGATGGGTTTTCAGTTCAGCTCTTCTTGGAACATGGGAGCTCTCAGACGAGGGAGATGGAGGCAGTAGAGGTGGGCTCTTGTATCTGAGATGGGGGTTGGGGGGAGCCAGGACCCCCCTCCTGCCTGGTCCTCCAGGGTCCCTGTGGGTGTAGTTGGTCCCAACACTGGCTTCACTGCCTCGGGGTGACATTGCCAGTGGGGGTGGCTCGCCGCCATGTGCAGGCAGCCAGCCCAGGGCCTTCTGCATGCTCCTGTGGGGCAGCTGTCCTTGTGTCTGCCACGCCCCCCGAGGGCCCCGGGGATGTCCCTGTCAGTGACCGGACGCTGGTGCTCTCATGCTTCTGCATGTGAGGCTGAGTTCCTGCTGGAGGAAGGAGGCGGATCTCCAGGGCTCTGGTGACTGGGCTGCTGGGCGACCAGGTCCATGCCTGGCTGCCTCAGCTCCTGGGCTGCCACCTTTGTTGGATTTGGGGCGCGGCACATGGTGTTTCTGGCCCGTTTTCCCGTGTGTGATCGGGCTAAAGCCCTGTCCTTGCGTGCACACCGGGAGGACTGTCTTTGTTCAAGCCTGGTGTGATGGCGGTGTCCTGTTCGAGCACAGGCCCTGGGGCTCGGTGGCTGCTGAGGCCCGTGGATGGGTCTTGGTTGTCTTGTGCCTTGTCCAGCAGCCTGATTTAGTGGCAGCATGACAGCAGGGCTGGGTAGGGATCCGTGTACTGGGAGCACTGGGGTGCTGGCTGACCTCTCCCCAGGCGGGAACAGGTGGGAGGGTGCTCAGATGGTGTCCCCTGGGGCCTGCCTGGGCTCCAGATAACGGCAACCCTCCAGATAACGGAGCTGCTCATTTCAAGTGCCGGCCGAGTGGCGCCGCCCCAAGTGGGTGGACTCCTTCGCCGTCTGGGATGCGGGCGGTGGGTCTGCTGGGTGTTCGCCTTTGGTCCGCCCCACCACACCCCTCCACGGCACCTTCCCAAGCTCCTTCTGCAAAGGCCTTCCAGCGTGCTGTGCTGCCCTTTCTGACTGCCTCTAACCTTGCTGCTTTCTCTTCATGCCGTCCTAGGAGACCGAAGTGAAAGTAAGTACCCAGCTGGCCCTGCCGCAGCGTTCCCTTCGCCTCAGCCAGGGAGCCCCCAGTCCACGTGTCCCAGCACGTGGGGCCCGGCTGCCGGGCCTCCGTTCCCTTGTCTGCAGCACAGAGGTGCTGGATTTGCCGTAGTTGGCTTTGATCCTGTGGAGTAGGGCAGCAGCGGGGTGGGCATCTCGGTAACTTCCTCGGTGCTTCCCTGGACTGAGCCAGTTTCTGCCCCAGGGAGGGGGCAGCCCCTGAGCAGGCTGGGAGTGGCCTGCCGCCCCTCTGGGCTGAGCATGGAGCTGCGGCCCCAGCCGGCCCCTGGTACAGGCCACATCCCTCATTCTCCTGAGACGTCTTAAGCAGTTTCCCCTCCCTGAGGTGCAGCGGCCCCAGAGCTGTGAGCAGAGCCTGGTGTGATGGCAGGAGTCAAGGACAGCACTTAGGCCAATGGGGTCTGGCAGGGCTTCAACCCTGGGGGTCAGCCTAGTGGGTGCAGCTGAAGGGGCCCAACCAACCCAGCTCTGGGCTGCTCTGGTGAGGGTCTGCCAGGGGCTGGGTGCCAGAAAGACTGAAGGGCAGACACGCCCTGCCCGATTGGCCTGCCGTCCCCTCAGGAACAGTGGGTGATGTCACAATGCCTTGCCTCCTGGGCACACGCCCCTGCCTCCCACCGCCGCCTCTGCTGCCAGCCTGGCCTTGGTAAGCACCACTGCCGGCCGGGGGAAGGCACAAGGGGGTGGCCCGGGGCTCTCTCCAAGCCTGAGCCATCAGAGGCCCCCAGCATGTCCCCTCACGGTACACGGGGCTCTTCTCCCAGATCCTGGTGCACAGCTGACGTGGCCCACTGGGTAATGAGCAGCAGGTTTCAGTTTTGATTGGGCTGTCAGGAAAGGGATGCACAAGTGGTGGGAGGGTTTGCTGTCCTCCCGGTGGAGACCTTGTCTCCTGGGGATGAGGGCCCAGCCGGTGGCTACCCTCACATAGGCTACACTGCATGATCCCACAGAAGCGGGGGTCGGCGGGGATGACCCGAGGGGACCCTGCTCAGCCCCCTGGCAAGTTAGCTTCTGGGTGTTGGGCAGTCGGTGTGGACACTTTTGCTTTGGGGGAGCAGGGCCCGGAGTGGGATCTGTGGCTGGAAGGGATCTCTCTGCTGCTGACAGCCGTTCCCCTAGAAGCCAGCTGAGTGTGAGCTCAGACCACTAGGTACGCCCTAAGAGCAGACTGGCTCCTGGGCCTTTCTGGGCTTGAGCCGCTCCCGGCCAGAGGCTGCAGTGGTGGCGGCGGCCCTGACCCCTCAGTTCAGATGACCGAGGTCTCCAAGCTGGAGAGAACACCACCTCTAGCTAAGAAGCTAGGGGCTTGTCCACCATAGCAGATGGGACACAGAGCCCCCAACCTGTCTTCTACCATAATCCTGGTGATGGGGCCCCTTACGTCAGATGGCACTGAAAGGCGGGAAGGGCGTCCTAACACCCTAGGGCCCAGAGAGTCTCAGGTGGCCCCCTCTAGCTGTAGGTATGGCCAGAGCTGTGAGCTGATGGGGAGCCTGGTTCTTCCCCGATGTGGCCCTGCAAAGGCAGGCCCTCCACCCACTGCTCCCAGCTGCCCCCTGAGAGGCTGTCCCTCATCTGAGACCCTTGGCAGCTCCCCTTAGAGCGTGTGCTGCTTTGGATGGTGGTGTGGCCCGTGGTGGGCGTGCACTGCTATAGGGCGGGGGGGGGGGGGGCGTCCTTAGAGACCGCCATGCGTGTTTGTTGGAAACTGGAAGCACCAGTGTGGCAGGCAAGGTGCCAAATGTAGCAAAATCAGAGGACGTCAGGTTAAAATTGTAGACAAGCAATGAGTAATTTTTCAGCACAAATGTCGTGTTTCATGGAACATATTGATTCTAAGAATTACTTGTTGTGTGTGAGAGTCGGATTAACTGAGTGCACCCTGTATGTTATTTAGCAGCTCCCTGTGGATGCTGAAGTTTGGAAACAGTGTTGTCTAGACCCCTGTGCAGAGCCTGGGTGCCTAAAAGATTCGTTTTACAGTTACACACACACACACACACACAGACGTGTTTGTTTTTTGATTTACTGAGTTTCCTGTGGGCTTGACTCTAAGTCCTTGCTTGTTACCGCATGGCACCCCCGTTGGGGAGCCCTCCCTGGCCCAGCGAGCCCCAAGAGTCAGGCTGAGGAGGGGGGTGGGGGTGCCATCCTCCCGTGGCCCGCTGTGTTGCAACTGCCTTCTTGTGCTTGCTTTTTAACGCTGTGCGGAAGATGAGGAGCGGGAAAGCCTCCTGTGCCCTGGAGACTGTCTGGGAGGACAAGCAGAAGTATGGGGAGGCCGAGCGGCGTTTCTACGAGCAGGAGGCCACACGAGCCGCCACCACCCAGCAGCTCCCGGCTGAGGGGCCAGCCGTGAATGGGCCAGGGCCGGAGGAGGCCAAGGACGCTGAGGAGGCCGATGCCCCTGACGGCAGCAGCACGAGGGACCCCAGGAAGAGCCACGACGGAAAGAAGCCTCTGCAGAAGAAGAGGAAGCGCTCCCCAAAGAGCTGGTTCGGCCAGGCAGACCTGGCCCTCGTGGGCCTCTCAGCCGACCACGTTTGGCTGGACAAGCCAATGTTTGACCAGGCAGAGAGCTCGTACCGCCAGAGGCTGGCAGATGCGGCCGCCCAGCCAGCCTCCCCGGCCCCCCGGGGCCCCTGCACGCACGGAAGCCAGGTGGCCTGCCACCACGTGACCTGGGGCATCTGGGTCAACAAGTCTTCCTTCGACCAGGCCGAACGGGCGTTTGTGGAGTGGTCTCAAGCCTTGCTGTTGGCCGCCGACGGGAGCGGCGGGCAGGGGGCTTCTGACACGGGCCAGCAGGCAGCCGCCCCCGACCTGGCGCCCACCCGCCAGCGCAGCTCCCTGGCCGACAGCCAGTCCCCCCGGGGCAGCCTGCAGGCGCTGGTGCAGGAGGTGTGGCTGGAGAAGCCCCAGTACGACGCAGCGGAGAGGGGCTTCTACGAGGCCATGTTTGACGGCCACCCCCCCGGGAAGGTGCGCCTGCAGGAGCGAGCGGGCCAGGCTGAGGGGGCCCGGCGGGGCCGCAGAGACCGGCGAGGCCGAAACGCCGTGGGAAGCAAGCGGGCCGGGCCTCGGCGGGTTGATGGGGAGGCCCCCTCTGCCCTGCCCTCCTGGTACTTCCTGCACAAGGACGCCGAGGCCCCCTGGCTCAGCAAGCCCGCCTATGACAGCGCCGAGTGCCGGCACCACGCTGCTGAGGCCCTCCGCATGGCCTGGCGCCTCGAAGCTGCTTCCCTGGCTCACCGACCTGGTGCCCGGCCTGGCCCGTCCATGTCCAGCCTGAGACCCAAGTAGGAGAAACATGCCGTGCGGGTTCCTGGCCGGGGCTTCCCCTGGCTGGGGCCCTGCCTGCTCTTGTCCCCACCCCCGCCCCGGCGTGGCTGTCCCCGACACTCCTGGACCCGGCTAAGTTGGATACAGGAGTGGGTTGGGCAGAGGTAGTTCCTGGGGCAGCGCAGCAAAAACCTCCAAGGTTTGGGGCTGTTGGGGGTGGGAAGGGGTTAGCACGGGGCCAAGTCTGCCTTGTGTAGGGCTTCCCTTTGGACTGGGCAACTCCCAGAGTCCCTTGTGGCTGTCACAGGTCAGGGCAGGGGGAGTGTTGAAGGCTCCTGGCCCGAGCCCCACTGGGGAAGGCATGGGAACCGGCACGTCCCTCCTGCCTCCCGCGTCTGGAACCACCTCTAAGGTGAGGTGAGTGTCTCTGGGACACCAGCATACTGTCCATTGAGCCACTTGGTCTGAAGGACACCCTGGACGAGGCTTACTTGCCTTCAGCTTGGGGACCCAGGGCTTGCCCCAGGATGGTTCTGTGTGGTACCAGCCGTGGTCCTTGGATGCCAGAGCCTGGAGAAGGGCAGGGGTAGAGGTGGGTGGCTGGGCAGAGATGACCGGCTCTGAGGGAAGGTGGCATGTGTGGCAGCGGGAGGGTGTGGGCTGTGGGTGGCTGTGCGCCAGGCCTCAGGGAAGCCACACCATCCCAACCCCGCGTTCCCGTCAGCAGCCCCGCACCTCCTCGGTGGGGTCGGATTTGCTGGTTTGACAGAATCCAAACCTTGGTGTGAGGGACAGGGTGTGGGACCCCTTGTGTCCTGTTGGCATTGTGGGGGGGGCATGGAGCTAAACTGTCTATAGTGGCCTGGCTCCTCCTGACGAGGTTCCAGGGGTGGGTGGAGAATCATGGGACCCAGCCCCCTTGTCACCAAGGGCGCACTTGGTGAGGTCCAGTGATAGCCTGGGGCCTTCGGCACAGAGAAGTGGTGACATCGGGTCCATTTCTGTGGCCCTGGGCCAAGAACAGGAGGGGCTGTGCTCAGTGGAGGAGGGCAGGCAGGTCTAGTGTGGCTCCTGGTGGAGGGCTGCAGTTCTCGAGCTTACTGGCCTCCGGACCCCAAAGAGCTCTTTTATCTCGATTTTTGCCACGTTAGCACAGAAAACAGAAATCCTGAAAGTACTTTATTCGTTGAAAAGTTTGTTCCTTGTTAACTGTTAACGACTTGTTCTTAATGATGGTTTTCCCGAAATAACAGCTCAGTGAGCAGTGGCCTTGATCGACATTCTCTGCAAATCTCTTTAGTGTCTTGCTTAAGAGGAGGCAGCTGGATTCTTATGCTTGCTTCTGCATTCAGTCTGTTGGTGTGAATTGTTTGATGGACATAAATTGAGCCTTGCACCGATGTGTGGTTGGAACGGGAGGACCCTGGGGACCCCCAGAAGTTCCTCGCCCCAGTTTGAGAGCCGCTGGTCTTGGGGACAAGCCTGGGAACTGCCAACCTGAGGACCAAAGGGGCGGGAGCAGGGATGGTGTGGGGGGGCTGGTTCAGCCATGCCGAGACCCCCTGTGCTCTGACCTGGACCCCTGATCCCCCTGCACCCTTGGCTTCTGGGCTGTTGGTGGGGCGCTCGTGCGGGCCAGGCCTAGGGCCTTCAGAGATGCACCCTTTCCTTCCAGCTGACTGTCTTAGTCTCTCCTCCCCTTTCCAGCAGGAAAATGGCTACAAACTTCCTAGTTCACGAGAAGATCTGGTTTGACAAGTTCAAATATGACGATGCAGAAAGAAAATTCTACGAGCAGATGAACGGGCCTGTGGCTGGCTCCTCGCGCCAGGTAGGGATGTACTCGGAGCACTGGGGGACTGTGCCAGCATCGGGAGGGCAGAGGCATGTTGGGCCCAGGTGGCTCTGCTCCAGGTGCTGGTGGTGGGGTCTTTGGAGGTGTGGCCCCAGATGGCTCCTGGGGTTCTGGATCTGCTCACGCGATGGCACGGGGCAGACTGTTCACTTCCACCATCTCAGACCAGTGGGCACGCTGGTGCCCATCAGGATGGTGTGGGCCTGGGTTGGGCCTGCAGACTGGGTGTCCCTCAGGCCCTGTTGTCACGGCTACAAGACTGGCAGACTCGAGCTCCTTGCGCTCCTTGCCGTCCCGCCGAGCTTTCACTCTGCACAGCTCTTGCTTGCTCGCTTGCTTTCCATAGGAGGGTTTCTCTCTCTCTCTCTCTTTTTTTAATTAAAATTGTTTTAATGAAAAAAAAAAAAAGACTGGTTTCTTCTGCACTGTCTGTACAGGAGAACGGCGCCAGCGTGATCCTTCGAGACATTGCAAGAGCCAGAGAAAACATCCAGAAATCCCTGGCCAGCGTGAGTACCTGCAGGCTCGCGCTGGCATGTCTGACTTTGCCCCCAGTCCTGCTGCTGTGCACTGGGCCCTCGGGACAAAGCTAGGGCGAGGTGCACAGTGCTGGATTCCCGCTGGGACGGGCACCTACACTCCCACCACCACAGAAGCCTCCCTTGCTGTGCCTCTCGCCTGCTTGCTGGCGGTCGCCCAGGACTCCTTCCTGCGCTCACCCTGACTGCCGCTCAGCGCCATCCCTGGGCCAACACCGTGGTCCTCCAGCGCACTCCGCAGGCGCAGGCCTGGGGGCGGCCTCCTTGCTTTGCACCCTGCTTGGGAGGAGTGTGAGCGGTGGCATCTGCTGCCCCTTTCTCTTGCTCCCTAGGCCCTGCCTCCCCAGAGAGATGGGTTCACGGGCTGCGTGGAGGCCAAATGATAGACTTTGAGGCCCAGAGAGGGGCCGTGCAGCCCAGTTCAGCCTCCAGGTCCCAGATGGGATCAAGAGAGGAGGACAGGTCCATGTCCAGGTCTGTTTCCAGCCTGGCTGGGCAGGTGTGTCCCTAGGAGGAGACAGACCTGCTTCTCTGCCTTCCTAGCCGGGGGACTCAGGACCTCATTCTCCCTCTGGGACACGTGGTACCCTGTCCTTGAAGGCGGAGTATCGTCAGAGTTGTGTTCCTTCTGGAGACTTTAGGAAAGACTCTCTTTCATTGCCTTTCCCACCTTGAAGAAGCCACCCTCATCCCTTGGCCTGTGGCTTTTAGCCGGCTGTGCCATGGCCCCAGCGATATCTCATGTCTCCTTCTCTCTGCCTCTCGCTGACACGGGGCCCGCGCAGATAACCCAGGAGCATTTCCCTGTCTGCAGAGCCTCCACTTTGTCCTGTGGGCAGCGTCCCTTTTGCCACCTGAGGTCATCGTTTTGTTGGCTTTGGGGATTAGCACGTGGGCAAGTTCGGGAGCCTCTGCCTGCCACGGCTGGGCGGGACAGCTCTCGACAAACCCCAGGGGCTGTTGCCACTGCTTTATGCTTGGCCCCCACTTGCTGTCGCCTTGCAACCAGGCCAGTGTGCGGGATTCCAGCCCCTGGAAGGCCAGGGCTGGGGAGCTAAGCAGCTCCGGGGCCAGCTGCCCTGGGGGTTCTTGGGCTGCAGGAACTCTTCCTCTGGCCCTCAGGGTGCCCTGGCTGTGTTGGGGGTTGGCTGCTGTGTCCTGGTCTTGGGGAAAGCATGTGGGCGTCCTGCTAAGACTTGGGGGCTGGTTTGCTGGGGTTGCTGTAACAAAGCACCCCAGACCAGGGGCTTAAATAAGCATACTTTATTTTCTCAGTCTGGAAGCTAGAAGTCAAAGGTCAAGGTGTGGGCAGGTTCTCAGTCCTCTCCTGGGCACGTGCGTGGCCCTCATTCTCCTGTGTCTTTACATTGTGTTCCCTCCGGGTGTCTGTCCAAATTTTCTTCTATGAGGACACTAGTCAGAATTAGGGCCACCTTAATGACCACATTATAACTGGACTACCACTGTAAAAGCCCGATCTCCAAATAAGCCCCTGTTCTGTGATAGTGGTGGGAACTTCAGAGGAGTGTCCTTCAACCACTAACAGGGACCCAGGAAGGACATTGCTGGCCCAGCCCCAGGTTTGGATTTGGGTTGGAGAGAGCTCAGCAGCCACTGTGACCTTAGAACCCAGAGCTTCCTGGGAATTGTGTATGGTGCCAGGGGCACGGTTGGATGTGGGGGTGAAAGGTGGCACTGTCCGCTGTGGCCCACTGTCACAGGCCAGGACTAGACAGGGTAGCCTAGGTCTGCCTCACAGGCTGGGGTTGGGGGCCCTAGACTGCCTGGCATCCTCATTCCTTGCCTGGGTCAGAGTCGGGGTGGGTGAGGTCTTCCCAGGGCATAGACTTCGGTGAGAGACTTGAGGGCATGCAGGGCCCAGTGGTGGTTAACCCAGTGGTCGCCAGCACCGTGGTCTCTGCCCACCACTTCGGCCTTGTGCCAGGTGGGGCCTTGCCTGGAGCTTGCACCCTTGGGACCTGTCAGCAGGCAGTCCCCACTCAGTGGTGACACCAGGGTAAAGGCTTGAGGCACCAGCCTGCGGCCGGGCCCGGATGCGTTTGCTTGACAGGTACTGAGCCCCCAGGAGAGGCGGCTGGGGGGAGCTTGCGGAGATGGGAGCCGGGCCTGGGTGTGTGGGCTGGTAGAACAGGAGGAGGGTGGTCAGGATTTCGTCCCTGTGTGATGGAAACTGGGGAAATGCTAGTGAGCATTGCATAGAGAGCTGAGTTCTGGGGAAACAGGCTGGAGAGGCCGCCACATGCCAGGTGGTGGCGGCCGAGACGTGAGCGAGTCCAGCACAGTTTTCCATTGGCGGAGCGAGGGGGTTGAGCTGAAGGAGCGGAGTGCCATGAGCAGAGCCCACCCTGGTGCTGGTATCCTGCCCCAGCTGCATGGCGCCCGGTCTCTGCCTTTGGCTGGGTCTGCTAGGAGCCAGATGTGGGAGCTAGTGGGTCACAGGGGATAGATAGCATTGGCCTTGCATTGCTCACTGACCCCCAGCAGGGAGCCGGGTGCCTGTCCTTTCTGGGGACGTTTAGCTTGCCTGTGATTTGGGGGTGTGTTGAGCAGAGGAGGAGGCCGTGGGGCTTGCCCTCACGAAAGGGCCAGGTACACTCTGTCCTCCTGTCCACTCTGTTGGGTGTATGTGTAGGTCCCTGAGGTGTAACTCGGGCTTGAGGTGTGGTGCCCTGCTGAGGGGCTTCCGGTCAGGGAGGAATCCAAGGGAGGCTGGCAGGCAGCTGTGTGCCCCGGGTCACCCAGAGCCTTCGAGGGCCAGCTCCATGAGCCAGGTGGCAGGTGTATGGCCTAGGGAAGGCAAGGTGCTATGGAGTGGCTGCACGTACATAGGAAAGCTCTCTTCTCCTACTTCACTGGCCCCTGAACCCCCTTCCCTCCTGTGTCCAGTTCCCCCTTCCCTCCTGTGTTGCCCGGCCCCACTGTGGCCCAGGCTGTCCCAGGGCTGTATGCGGTCTGCTTCCTCCTGCCCTGAGGGACAGTGACAGCCAGGCTGTGGGTTCTGCACCACCTCCATGCCATTGCTCCTCTGGGCCCTGTGCTTCCTGCTTGGGTTCATGCTCACAGGGCTTCCTCCCCACTTTCGGGGCTGGAATATCCCAAGTGGACCCAGCGGGGCTGACAGGAGTGTCTTCCTAGTGTCCAGCAGGTCTCCCCCCCATTGTTAGGGTTCTGGTTCTCAGTGGCTGTGAACAGGGAGACCCCGGGAGCAGGCTGGGGTGCCGCATCCTCACCTTCCCCCTGCCTTACAGAGCTCGGGCCCTGGGGCCTCCAGTGGACCCAGCGGAGATCACAGTGAGCTCGCCGTCCGGATCGCCAGCCTGGAAGTGGAGAATCAGAGCCTGCGAGGCGGTGAGTCCCTGGGCCTAATGGGTGGGATGCCCCCCCGCCCCCCGCTGGCCTCCCTGCCCTCTGACCGGCAACCCCTTTGCTCTTGTAGTGGTGCAGGATCTGCAGCAGGCTGTCTCCAGGCTGGAGGCCCGGCTGAGCGTGCTGGAGAAGAGCTCTCCTGCCCATCGGGCCATAGCCCCGCAGACCCAGGTGAGTACCCTTCTTGGACCAGGGCCCTCCGCCTGGGCACTGGGGGTGGGCGGGCGGCAGAAGGTGCTCCTGGCCCTCACCCCCACTGGGGCCCCGGTGGCACAGGCCTCAGCCTCCCTCCCCAATGGCAGCACGTGTCCCCCATGCGCCAAGCGGAGCCCCCTGCCAGGAAGGCGGCCCCTGCCGCAGAGGACGACGAGGATGATGCCATCGACCTGTTCGGCAGCGATGAGGAGGAGGACAAGGAGGCAGCGCGGCTGCGCGAGGAGCGGTTACGGCAGTATGCCGAGAAGAAGGCCAAGAAGCCTGTGCTGGTGGCCAAGTCCTCCATCCTGCTGGACGTCAAGCCTGTGAGTGGCGCACCTCTCCCCCGCCCCATGTCCCAGTGGGCTGTCAGGCTAGGCCGCACCCGGGGCCCTGTGAGGGCTGCCTGCTCTGCTGTGCTCTGTGGGAAGCAGGGGACACTCCCTGGGGTCTGCAGGCTCCTGACCCAGCCTCTCCACCCCTGTGCCCCCCAGTGGGACGATGAGACAGACATGGCCCAGCTGGAGGCCTGCGTGCGCTCCATCCAGTTAGACGGGCTGACCTGGGGGGTCTCCAAGCTGGTGCCCGTGGGCTACGGCATCCGTAAGCTACAGATCCAGTGTGTGGTGGAGGACGACAAAGTGGGGACCGACCTGCTGGAGGAGGAGATCACCAAGTTCGAGGAGCACGTGAGTGGCCAGGCCCCCAAGCAAACCCCTGGCCAGGCAGGTGGCCAGAGTGGGTGGGTCTTCGGGAAACTGGGCCCCATGTGACCACTGGCCTCCCTCCTCCTCAGGTGCAGAGCGTCGACATCGCTGCTTTCAACAAGATCTGAGCCCGAGCCCCGGGCCTGGGTGTGGGAGGCCCTGCAGCCATTAAAGACTGAGATCGCACTCTCTGGCTCCTGTCCTCGTCTGGGCCCAGGGGGCGGGCACATTCAGTGAGCAGCTCGGCCAAGCTCCAGGCCTCACGCTTGGCCTGCGTCTCATTAGTGTCCCAGCTGGGCCCCCGTCTGTCTTGCTCCTTCTCCGCCAGTGACCCTGGGGCCCAGCACCATCCTCCCCTTTCTTGGTCTCTGCACAGCGTTCTTGTGGCTGCGCTCACTCCCCGTCTGCCCCTTCTCTGCCTCTTGGCTGCCCTCCTGATGGCACTCACCCCTCGGTTACAAGTACCACACCAGGTTCACGCTGTTGAAGCCAGAAACAGAGCATGCGCTGACGGCTTTGCAGGGGCTGCCGGTCCCCCTGAGGCACGGGAGGCCTCTCCACTCCGCCTCCTCTGGGTTCCGTTCGCTGCTGAGCTGACCCCTGGGGAGCAAAAGTGTCCAGGGAAGAAAGGTTCCAGTGGCCGTCTGGCCCTGCTGCTGTGACCACAGTCATGGGCCCCCCAAGTGTGACCTGTGGGAAACCCTGCCAGGCCCCCCAGCATGTCCACAGAGCCTGGCTGATTCCTCGGATGAGGCCCCTGCTGCTCCAGCGTCAGGGCGCTGCCCTGTCTGCTCTGGGGCCTGCCCCTCCCCCTGGGCGGCCCGTGATAAATCGCCCTGTGGAGTCGTGCCCACGGTCCTGTCTGGGCGGTACCTGGCCCTGGCAGCCCCTCCCCTGAGCCGTTCTGAGTTGGGGACAAAGGGTGTGGGCTGTGGTTACTTCTGGTCTGAACTGGTGCCCTCCAGGGGCCCAAGCCGCACGGGAATGGTCTGCCCCCCTTGATGGCTCTGTCAGCGCCACCGACGGGCCCCCTCGAGCAGGTTCTAGAGTCCCCGGCGCCGGCCGCCCCTCCCCAGGGCAGGCTGGGCGCGGCCTCAGCGCGGCCTCGGGCCCCGCGGCGATAGTTGCCCTGCCAGGGGGCGGGGCCCCGGTCAGACGGCGGGCGGGGCGTCGCGGGGCGCGGGGCGGGGCGCGGGGCGCGGGCCGGAGTCCGGGCGCCGGAGCGGAATGGCGGCGGAGCAGGACCCCGAGGCGCTCGCGGCGGCTCGGCCGCTGCTCACCGACCTCTACCAGGCCACCATGGCGCTGGGCTACTGGCACGCGGGGCGGGCGCGGGAGCAGGCGGAGTTCGAGCTCTTCTTCCGGGGCTGCCCGTTCGGCGGCGCCTTCGCCCTGGCCGCGGGGCTGCGCGACTGCGTGCGTTTCCTGCGCGCCTTCCGCTTGCAGGACGCAGGTAGCTCCACCCTAGCCCGGCCAGCCCCCACGACCCCGCTGGACACCTGCCACCTAGACGCGTCTTTCCCTCCCCCTCCCCCGCCTGAGAGCCCCGGACCAGAGTCCCCCGTGGCCCAGCAGCCTCCCGGGACCCCCGACGGTCCCAGCCCCGACGAGTCCTCCACGGCCTGCGCCCGCTCCAGCCAACGAGGGCCTCTGTCACCCCCAGACGTGCAGTTTCTGGCCTCGGTGCTGCCGCCCGACACGGACCCCGCGTTCTTCGAGCACCTTCGTGCCCTCGACTGCTCCGATGTGACGGTGCGGGCTCTGCCCGAGGGCTCCCTCGCTTTCCCCGGCGTGAGTTGCAGGGTGAGCGGGGGGCGAAGGGCATGGGCCTGAGCGAGCCGGGCGGCGCCGAGCTGACAACTGCCCCCCCCGCCCCCCCCCCCCGCGGCAGGTGCCCTTGCTGCAGGTGTGCGGGCCGCTCCTGGTGGTGCAGCTGCTGGAGACGCCGCTCCTCTGCCTCGTCAGCTACGCCAGGTGGGGCCCCGCCCGGGTGGGACCCCGCCGGCCTGGAGGCAGACCCGGGGGAGGAGCTGGGCCCCGGACGACGAGCGGGGACGACGAGCAGGGACTTCGGCGGGGGGTGGGGTGGGGGGGTGGGGGGGCGGCGAGCCTTTGGGATGGGGAGTGGTTCCAACCAGGAAGCGGAGCGCGGGGCCAGGGCTCTGGAGAGGGGCCTCCTGCGCCCACTGTGGAGGGCCGCGAAGGGGGCCCAGGTCCGCGGTGACTTCGTGACCCTCACCGCAGGTCCCCTGCTCCCTTGTCCCCGACAGCCTCATCGCCACCAACGCTTCGCGGCTTCGCCTGATCGCGGGTCCGAAGAAGCGGCTGTTGGAGATGGGGCTGCGGCGAGCCCAGGGCCCGGATGGGGGTCTTACCGCCTCTACCTATAGCTACTTGGGCGGTAAGAGCCCGAGGAGGGAGGCAGGGGCCGGGGAAGGAGGACACCCGCCAGACGCCCTTCGGCCCCGTCTGATGCCCACCTGTCACCCTCCTGACCCCCTGGCTCAGGCTTCGATGGCAGCAGCAATGTGCTCGCAGGACAGCTGCGGGGCGTGCCCCTGGCCGGAACCCTGGCACACTCTTTCATCACTTCCTTTTTGGGCACTGAGGTGCCCCCCGACCCGGTCAGTACCCCTCACGCCCCCGCTGCGCTCCAGAGGGCAGACCCCACAGCCAGTCCTTGCCCACCTGAGCCCCCGGCAGGTAGCCCCAGTGCTGGGAAGCTGGTAGTGCTGGCCTTACCCCTGCTCAGGCCCTCAGCCGGCGGTCAGCCAGTCCTCACCCTGCACTATGGGCTGCCCAGCCTTCACCGACCCCTTTCCGTAGATGTTGGCTCCAGCTGCCAGTCAGGGCCCCAGGGTGGATCTGGCTGCTTGTGCGGAGGCATGGCTGGATCGCGTGTGTGCCCATCTGGGCCTGGGGGTGCAGGAGCCCCACCGGGGGGAGCGGGCAGCCTTTGTGGCCTATGCCCTGGCTTTTCCCCGGGCCTTCCAGGGCCTGCTGGACACCTACAGTGTGCAGAGGTGAGGCCCAGGTCCTCCCCTGGGTGGGCTCTGCAGAGCAGCTGTGGCCCCTCACCGACCCTTCTCCTTCCTGCTGGCAGGAGCGGTCTTCCTAACTTTCTGGCAGTAGCCCTGGCCCTGGGGGAGCTGGGCTACCGAGCAGTGGGTGTAAGATTGGACAGTGGCGACTTGCTGCAGCAGGCCCAGGAGATCCGCAGGGTCTTCAGGAGCATTTCGGCCCAGTGAGTCCCCTGGGACGGGTTATGCCTACTGAGAGATCTGTTGGGGGCAGGAACGTTGGGATGGGGCAGAGGAGAGAGCAGTTTGTCCCTCCCAAAGTGAGGAGATCTGATCTGGTTGCTTCCGCAGCAGAGACATTGGGACCTTGGCAGGGAAATCAGGGGTGGGTTCACCCAGGGGCTCATAAGCAAAAGGTCAAGACCCATGTGGCTGAAGGCAGATTGTCAGGTGGCGGGGGGCATGCGTACCTGGAGAGGGAGAGTGACCGGATGCCTCAGAGGATATCTGAGGGGCTGCCCATCACAGGTTCCAGATGCCCTGGCTGGAATCGGTCTCCATCGCCGTCAGCAACAACATTGACGAGGAGGAGCTGACCCGGCTGGCCCAGGAGGTGGGGCGGGCAGGGGCAGGCCAGAGGGGGGCCAGGAGGGCCCCGGGCCTGCCGACGTCAGCTAGGTTCAGTGCCACCTTCTCTCTCCTCGTCCAGGGCAGTGAGGTCAACGTCATTGGCATCGGCACCAATGTGGTCACGTGTCCCCGCCAGCCTTCCCTGGGCTGCGTCTATAAGGTCGGGATAGGATCTGGGACCCAGTGGGGTGGGCCGGAGGGATCGGGGTTGGGGGAGAAGAGTCCAGCAACCCCAGCACACGCGTCTGCAGCTGGTGTCTGTGGGAGGCCAACCCCGAATGAAACTGACCGAGGACCCCGAGAAACAGACGCTGCCTGGGAGCAAGGCTGCCTTCCGGCTCCTGGGCACTGATGGTGAGGTCCCCCCACGCCTCCCACTCCTCGGCAGTCCTTCTCCTGTCCCCAGGCCCCCCGCTTTACTCTTGGCGCGCACACAGGGTCTCCGCTGTTGGATTTGCTGCAGTTGGCCGAGGAGGCACCGCCGCGGGCTGGCCAGGAGCTCAGGGTCTGGCCTCGAGGGGCCCAGGGAGCCTGTAGAGTGAGGCCTGCGCACGTGGAGCCCCTGCTGAGGCTCTGGGTCCAGCAGGGACAGGTAGCCGCTTCCACCTGCTCCCTCAGTCTGCTCCTTCACTCTGAGTTCCCTGGCCCCTGACCCTGACCACTGCCCCACCCCTGCCTTCCCTCTTCCCCCAGCTGTGTGAGCCCCTCCCATCTCTGGCCGAATCTAGAGCCTTCGCGCAGCTGTCCCTGAGCCGTCTGAGCCCGGAGCATAAGCGGCTGCAGCAGCCTGCACCATACCGGGTGGGTGCACGCCCATGTGGTCAGCTCGCCCACGTGCCCTCCGTGCCTACGGCCACCCGTCATCCTCTCTTCCTCCTACAGGTGGCGCTGTCTGATAAGCTCCAGGCCCTGGTGGCCAGGCTGCGGGCAGGAGAGTCCTCCTGAGCACTGTGCTGGGGGTGCCTGAAATCAACATGAGTCACTCACTGCCCTGCACAGCTTGTCATGTGTCCTTTCTTCACCCAGCCTGCCGCTCACTTGACCCCCAGGGCCTCCAAGGGTGGGCTGGACTCAGGGATCAGAGCTTGGGTGCACGCCCCCTGGGGGAGGCCCAGGCTCTGCCCTGGGGAGCGGGGGAGGCTGCCCTTTGCTGGGGTCTGAGGGTGGCCAGGCACCAGGCCAAGGCTGGTAGTCGGAGGCTTGTGCACCTGGACTGTGGGGCCAGATCTGAGGCTGGACGGGACAAGGCTCTGGGGAAAGGGAGGCTGATAGTGCCCACCTAGGAGTTGGTGGGGTTCTTGCAGGAGGCCGGGGAGGGGGAGCCAGGGGGTGGGGTTGAGGTCCCAGGAGGAGGGTCTTGGGGACCTCCTGTATCCAAGCATGGCCCCAGACCCCACACCAACCAAGGGCAGTGCCCCGGAGGAGTCAGTGGGACGCCTCAAGCCTGCCAAGCCAAGAGAAGCCCAGGTGTCCCTGGCCGCTGCAGCGGGACTCTGCAGGACTCTGCCACTGGGCGCTGTGCTCCTGGGCTCCACCATCTGTCATGGGCTCAGCCAGGCCTGACCCGGGAGCCTTACGAAGGGACAGAAAGTGGCATTAGAGCCAGTGAAGAAATGAATGGTGCTGGGCTGGTCCTGCCTCTGTGCGCACAAAGCTAGTCAGGTTTCTGCTGGCTTTGGCGACTCGGGCTCCACAGAAACCACTCGGGAGAGCTGTTCTCAGTCATGTGGGGTGGGGGGGCCGGGCCTCTTGGATCCAGGCAGCACAAGGGGGCAAGCGCAGGCAAGGGCGTGGAGGGCTGCTGGCTTCCTGCGGTGCTTCCTAAAACACTTCTGCCTCTTCAAGTATCTGACCAGACTGGCTCTTCTGGATCCCAAGGCTTAGTTAGGCTGGGCAGTGCCCTGTGTCACCAGGTGAGCATGACAAGATTTGGGGCAGAGACCTGGTCAGGCCAGCTCTGGGGAGCATGAGGCTTGGAGAGATACAGACTCACAAACACCCACATGGCAGAATACAGGCCCCGGGTACCCCCACAGGTCCACCACTTCTCAGCTGTGCCCTTCCTCTGTGCCAGGACCCAGGAACCCTGTATTCCAGTGTTGGGTGCAGGGGGCACCTCAGAACAGGCCAGGACCCAGAAGGCCCACCCCGACGTATGGCAGCAGGGGCACTCCTCTCGCCTCTGCTCCAGCCCAGGCCTGCCTGAGCTCAGAGGTGATGACACCTTTCTCAACCACCCTCATCCGCAAGATGTCTGGCTGGGTCAGAATGCAGTGGGGACAGCCCAGCTCCTGGCCCCAGGCCCTGCCTGGACCCAGCTGCTGCTTTAGGGCTGAATCAGGCAGGGCCTTAGCTCAGGGTTGGGCCCTGACTTCTGGACCCTGGACCGTGCTGGGGTCTCCTCCGGGCTGTCCACACCTGCCGGGGGTCTCCCCGCCCAGAGGGGTTGGAGGTCAGAGTGAAGCGTCCTTCTCCCCCTCTTCTTGCAGATCCACCATCCCAGGGATCTCATCATCCCTTCCCAGGGCCTGGTGGGCAGAGCAGACCCCACACACTCCAGCTGCAGGCTGGTACTCCCTGCCAGCAGCAAGGGCACGCAGGCCCTTCCCGGGCCCCTGATGTGCACACCTGTGGGTGCCTCTGTGGAACGCCCCAGCCCCCACACAGGGAGAGCACGAGCACACACGCATGCGCCACCACGCCTCCCCTGGTCCTGCCTGCCCTGGGCCAGCTTCTAGGTCAGGCCTGGGCACGACTTCCTGGGAGAACCGGCGGCAGGCGCTACGGGCTGGATCCAGCCACTCGCGGTGTGCGGTGGCCATGGCTTGGGGCGCGTGGGGCCGGGCCCAGGGGGGCCCTGTGGGGGCTCTAACCCTGACAGCTCTGGCTGAAGGGATCCAGGCTGACCAGGGGCAGACCCCGGGTCGCTCTTCCCTTGGCCCTCAGCCGGAACACGAGCTTGAACCCGAGGTGGAAGCTGAGGGTGCAGCTGCCAGCCCCATGGCTGGCAGTGAGGCCTGCTCCCTGCCCGGCAGGCAAGAGCCGGCCCCCGAGGGGCCCTATCAGGTGAGCGGGGAGGGAGGCTGAGGGGACCACACGGAGGAAGCGGGGGTGCTGGGAAGAGCGTTGGGAGAGCCAAGGGGACTCTACATCCCATCCACCCTGCCTTAGGACCCCCAGAGTCCCTGGGAAGAGGGGGCCCTTGCCGACCTGGCGGTGTACACGGCTGCCTGCCTGGAAGAGGCTGGCTTTGCGGGGACCCAGGCAACTGCGCTCACGCTGTCCTCGGCTCTGGAGGCCCGGGGGAAGCGTCTGGAGGACCAGGTGAGCCACCACCCTGTCCCTGCCCCCCTAACTCCTGCTGTTGAGTTCCAGGGCTGGGGGCTGGGAGTGAGCACCTGCCAAGCACAGTCGCTTCGGGCTGCACCTGCCCCGTGGGGGTGCAGAGTGGTGCACCGCAGCCGTCTGCTCCGCCCCGCCAGGTGTACGCCTTGGTGCGGGGCCTGCGGACACAGGTGCCCAGCCTGGCCGAAGGGAGGCCCCGGCGGGCGGCCCTCCGGGTGCTGAGCGCGCTGGCCCTGGACCATGCTCGGGAGGTGGTGTGTGCGCTGCTGCCAAGCTCCCTGCCCCCCGACCGGTAACCTGCCTCCCCCAGGCCAGCAACCACGTCCCTGAGGCCCCCACGCAGCTTCCTTCCCCCTTCCTGATGGGCGGTGGAGGCGAGCCCGGGGGTGGGGGGAGATGTGGAGGGGGCAGAGCCTCCAAATTCCCTCCGCTTGACTCCTGTCCTCCATCCACTCCCCGCCCCTCTCGCCTGGGGTCCCTGGCTTGGGGGGCCTGCTTTCTCCCCGCCCAGGTCACACCAGGAGCCCAGCCTGGGGCCCCAAGGGGGGACGAGCGAGCCGGGTGTCTGCTTCTCCCCCACGCCACTGGCTCTTTGGTCGGTCTGCCCGGGAGAAGTTATGTCGGGTCTCGCTCTGTACAGTGACTGTGTCTAATGCCAGGTTTGTGGCCCTGCTGCTGGCCCCCCCGGACCCTGCGGGGCCCGCCCCGCCAGGCAGCTGCAGACCGTCTGCACAGCTGGCCATTGTTTTGTTTTTCTGGGGTTTGCGGGTGGAGTGCCTGGGGATGCTTTACCTCCTCCTCCCCATGCTGGAGTCCTCGAGGCCACCTCCCACCCTGACCTGGGACTCCCCACGTCGGACCCTGTCTCAGGTGCTCGTACCCCCAGCCAGCAGCTGAGCTGTGGCGCAGCCTGAGCCGGAATCAGCACGTGAATGGGCAGGTGCTGGTCCAGCTGCTGTGGGCACTGAAGGATGAAGCCAGGCCCGAGCTGGAGGCCTTGGCGGTAGGTGACGAGCTAGCGCAGCCGGGGGGCCACCCCCAGGGCTGAGGGGTCGGAGAGTCTGGCCCCAGGGGTGCGGGGGCAGCAGGCTCTCACCGGAGCGTCTGAGGCTTTGTCCTAGTTCTCTGTCCAGGGCGCCCAGAGCCTGAGCTGGGCTGCTTGTTCCGCAGGCCACGCGGGCCCTTGGAGAGATGCTGGCTGTGTCCGGTTGTGTGGGTGCCACGCGGGGCTTCTACCCACACCTCCTGCTCGTGCTGGTCACACAGCTCCACCAGCTGGCGCGGCGCGGGCACTCCCCTGACACCCCGAAGGTGCAGGCCCCATGGCGCCGAGGGCCCCCGCACAGCCACGCCAGGTGAGGGCCCACACCAGAGGGCAGCCAGGGCTGGGCCTCTGCCCTTCCAGCCCTCCCCACGCGCTTGCTCCCTGCTCCCACCGCAGCTGCGCCGTGGAGGCCTTGAAGGCCTTGCTCACCGGGGATGGTGGCCGTATGGTGGTCACGTGCATGGAGCAGGCCGGAGGCTGGAGGAGGCTGGTGGGAGTCCACACCCACCTAGAAGGCGTCTTGCTGCTGGCCAGGTGCTGGAGGGGGTGCTGGGGAAGAGGCCGGGGCAGGAGGGTGGTCGGGTGGAGGCTTCTCGAGGGGCGAGGCGGTGAAAGGAGGGAGCACCCCCACTTCCGCCCCATCCAGTGCCATGGTAGCGCACGCGGACCACCACCTGCGGGGCCTGTTCGGGAGCTCGTTGCCGCGGCTGCGCAGCCCCGACGACACGCAGCGCCTCACGGCGATGGCCTTCTTTACCGGGGTGAGCCTGCTTCCATGTGGGTGGTGAGGGGCGCCCGTGGACCTGGCCCCTAAGCAGCGCTGCCGGCATGGGGGCCTCGAGCACGCTGACCCCGGGGCCCCCTCTCAGCTGTTGCAGAGCCGGCCCACAGCAAGGCTCTTGCGGGAGGAGGTCATACTGGAGCGGCTGCGGGCCTGGCAGGGCGACCCCGAGCCCACCGTGCGCTGGCTGGGCCTGCTGGGCCTCGGCCACCTCGCGCTGAACCGCGGGAAGGTGAGGGACCGGGCTGGGGTGGGGGGACCTGGGCGGGGGCCGCGAGGGGCCGCCCACCAGCCGCTGCCCCCGCAGGTGCGGCACGTGAGCAAGCTGCTGCCCGCGCTGCTGGGTGCGCTGGGCGAGGGCGACGGGAGGCTCGTGGACGCCGCGCTGGGCGCGCTGCGGAGGCTCGTGCTGCGGCCTCGGGCGCCGGTGCGGCTCCTGAGCGCCGAGCTGGGGCCGCGCCTGCCGCGGCTGCTGGACGACGTAAGCTCCGCCCCTCCAGGCCGCCGGGCGCCCCCCACCGCATTCCGCCCCATTCCTCCCCGCGCACCCCCACCCCCACCCGGCCCCCCGGCTCAGCGCCCGGACTGCCGCCCTCCCCGAGACTCTCCCGGTTCTTGGTCTGCCCTGACCGCGCCCTCCCACGCAGGCCAGGGACTCGGTCCGCGCCTCGGCGGCGGGGCTTCTCGGGACGCTGGTGCGGCGGGGCCGGGGCGGGCTCCCGGTGGGCCTCCGCGGCCCCCTGAGGAAGCTGGTGCTCCAGAGCCTCATCCCTTTGCTGTTGCGCCTGCAGGATCCCAGCCGGGACGCTGCTGAGGTCAGCTGCCCCCCAGGGCTGCCCCACTGCTGTCCCCATGGAGCCCTACCCATTCCCACCCTGTGTGTCTCCTAAGATGAGAGGTCAGGGATTTCCACAAGGACCTCGGGTGCCAGTGTTAAGGGCTCCCGGTTCCTGGTCTTTCCTGGACTACTTTCCCTGGGCTCTTCCACCCCTCATCCACCCCAGCTACCTCTTGCCGCTTTCTGGACCCTAACCCTGCTCCCCTCCCCTGTCGTAGAGTTCAGAGTGGACCCTGGCCCGCTGTGACCAGGCCCTGCATTGGGGCCTGCTGGAGGACGTGGTCACCGTGGCCCACTATGACAGCCCTGAGGCCCTAAGCCGCATCTGCCGCTGCCTGGTCAGTAGCGGGGCAGAGTGACAGCGATGGGGTGTGGTCAGCTGCCCACTTGGTCCAGCATACACCAGGGCACTCCTGCCAAAACGGAGTCTCCTTGCTTTCCCAGCCAAGGTGGTGGCAGATCTAAGACCTCAGGCCCTGGTGCCTTGCACTGGGGGCTCCCCAGGGGACCCCAGGCCCTGGGCTTGCGTCTGTCACCTCCTCTTCATGTGGGATGGGTCCTCCTGCACGGTCTTAAACCCATCTGCCCCCAGGTTCAGCAGTGTCCAAGTCACATCCCCAGCTTCCTGAGCCAGACCCAGGGCTACCTACGGAGCCCACAGGACCCCTTGCGCAGGGCAGCTGCTGTGCTCCTAGGTGAGGTGGTCCTGGTGTCTGTCCCTCGAGCTCAGAGCTCTGGGAGCTGGACCAGCCCTTCCCTGATGGGGACCTGGGGCCCGCGCTCACAGGCATGTCTTGGTCCAGGTTTCCTCGTCCATCACACCAGCCCCGGCCGCGTCAGCCAGGACCTGCTGGACTCCCTGTTCCAGGGTAAGGACCCAGCTTGCTCACCAGGGTATGGGGTCCTGGAGAGGCTGGGGGCGCTAGGATGGAGTGGATGGGAATGGATTGGGTGGAGGGCCAGGGGCCTGGGGTTCTGAGAGCCCTCCGACCTTGCCTGAGCTGCCCTATCCCTGCAGAGCTGGGGCAGCTGCAGAGTGACCCAGAGCCCGCCGTGGTCGCCGCGGCTCACGTGTCCGCCCAACAGGTGGCGCTGCTGGCCCGCGCACAGGCCCGGCCCTGCCGCCTGCGTCAACTCCGCGCAGGCCTCTGGCACCATACCCGGCCCCTGCCAGTCTATGCCAACAGCCCATTCCAGCCCCGGAGCTTCATAGGCCGCTGGGGCTGCCTGGGACCTGGCTGAGCCTGACCCCGAGCCAGCCCGGAGGGTACCTGGGGTCCCAGTCCGACAGTGCACTGCTCTGTGGCCAGTCCTGGCAGGGCAGGTCTGCAGAAGAGGTCCGCTTGAGGGCCGCCCTGGGCCTGGTACTGGATGCACACAAACCCACCCTCTCTAGGAACACACCGCCACGACGGCCACGTGACCTAGGACAGCCGCGCCTTCTGTCCGAGCACCATCTTGCCCTCGGCCCACCCCCTCCCGCCTCTTGCACCCATGGGTCCATCTGTCCCCACTTGGGCCTGTGGCTCTCCCAGCTCCCTGGAGTGTGCCCCGCGTTCCCAGCCTGGATGGCACCTGGCCTCCCGAGCTGGGGTCCGGTGAGGGACACCGTGAAACTGGTCCGACCCTGCGAGCTGGCGCCATGATAGGCTGCCTGCTTCCCGGGTCTTTGCGCACAGCCCGGCTCAGCCTCCCCTGCCTGTCCGGGCTCTCCTCCCCAGCAGCCCATTGTCCCCCATCACATGTCCCACTCCTCACTGGCCTGGCCCCATCCCCCCACACCCCCACTCCTGGGCATCGTGTTTTCCCCCGATTTCCCCTGACTTCCCCGCTGGAGGCTTGGGTGACGCTGTGGTTTCAGGCGTGAGGTGCCGCCATCTGCATCCACTAGATGAGCCCTCAGCCGGCTCTCCGGCGCCCTGCCCGGGCTTGAACGAGGATAGCATGACTGCACCTGCTAGGAAGAAGCCTCTCTGGGCCCTGGTGGGCTTCTCCACCCAGAATGCCTACCTTGAAATGTTCTCTTGCCTTTCAAGGCCCACCCCCCAAAGCCATCTCCTCAGAGAGGCCTTGGCTCACACAGTCTCTTGGAGGATTAGGACCAGTCCCCCCAGTCTGGGGACCCCTTGGGGTCCTGCCTGCCCTCTGTGGAAAGTGTTTAAAATAAACACAGATTGGATTAAAAGGGTCTGGCGTGTGTCTGGGGACTGGGTCTGGGCCAAGGATGGAGTCCTGATGACCTTGGCCTGCTACAATATCCAGCTCAGGCTGGGATTACAGATAAGGCAGAGGGTAGCCAGGAATAAGGGTCAACCCGCCGGGCGGGGTTCGAGTCAGGATGGTTCAGGGTCCAGGTTTATGGCCAGGGTCAGGCAGGGCTTTGCCTGAGACAAAGAGAAAGCTCAGGAGCTCAGGCAGGAAGGAGGTTAGGTCTCTCTAGGCCCAAGCAGGGTCAGGCCAAGGGCATGGGTCTGTGTGGAACCAGGGGCATGGTTTGGTGTATTAGTTTAGACCCTCCAAGGCAGACGTCAAAACAAGATTAAGCTACAAGAAGAGGCCCTCAGACTCCCGGAAAGGATGGGAGGGGGAAGGAAAGGATTGTTTGGGGTGTCCTGGGAGGCTGTGCTGGCCTAGGGGCTCTCAAGCCAGTCACCCATCCAGGAGGACCGCGGCTCCCAGGATGGGGGTGCTGGGCAGGGCTGGGTCTCCCTCTTCAGTTTCCCTCCAGGCAGCTGGTGTGTGCGGGGAGCATCCTCAGAGCCCCTGATTTGATCTGGGCCCGAAGCTGGGCTGAGCAGGGGCCTCATGCTCCTCTCAGTGATGGTCCCTGAGGGCAGAAGCAAGCCCGGCCTCCCCACAGCTGCAGCCCGGGAGCCAGAACCTGGGGTGAGTGTTCGCTGCCCACTGCCATCACCAAGCAGAGCACGGCTGGGCAGTGATGCCCTCTCGGAAGGAGGTCCCAGGCTCAGATGAAGGCTCGGGCATGCAGCACCCGGCCCCTTCTCGCCCCACCTCCGTGCTGCCCACACCCCACCCGGTGAGCAGGAGTGCAGGCTGTCTCTTGCACAATGCATCTGCCGGCTCATGGTCGGGTGTCCGCCCCCACCTTGCTATGCCCCCTCCCCCGCAGTACCTGCAAGCCCCGCCGGACTGCCTGGCCACCAGGTGTGAGGTTCATCAGAGTTCATGTGGCCCGAAGGCCCGGAGTGTGGCTGTGCTCTGGGAGAGTGAGTCTTCTCAGGGACTTCTCTGCTGGGCTGCCCCGTCCCATGGCCATGCCTTGGCCCTGTGTGTGGGTGAGTGTGTCCAGCCTGGGGGGTCTGCCCGCACAGGGCCCGCCAACCTGCTGCTAGGGTTGGACCACGCTTGCTGCCCTGGTCTCCGTGCTCTCAGGGCACTCGTGGCCTTGGAACCTGAGGACCAACGCTGCAACTGGGGCTTGGTGGGACCACCCAGGGCCCGCCTTCTCCCCTGACTTGAGGGTGACCTCAGGGCCCAGGGGCTCCTGTTTCTCGAACACTTCCTAAGATTGGGGCTCTTGCAGTACTACTCGTTCACCTTGGTTTGCCTTTCAAGTGCCCCCTGACGGGGGTTTCCAAAAGAGAAGCGTGGGCCCTGGAGACGTCAGACAGGCCTGAGGGGCATCGAGCTTCTTCCTGCAGTGTGTAGCCTGGATCGGGGGCATTTGGGGTGCAGTCTGCCTTTGTTCTGATATTAATTTCGCTCTTGGGCTGGGATGCTAGATATTCTCCGGGACTAATGTCCTAGCTCCCGCCGAACCTACCGTCCGTCCTCTTCGGGGAGGCCTGAAGCCGCCTGTCAGTGACGGAACCACCCCTTCCTCCACCTTCCAGCACGCAGAGGAAGGCTGACTGCAGTTCCCACCAAGGAAAAGCAGATTTCCCGGCTGTGCACCTTCCTGGAGACGCGGCCACGTCAGTCACCACCTGTGCCTACGCTCGGGGCCGCCTCTGCCACGGGCGGCTGAGGCCCGCTGAACGCCCAGGGATCTGCAGCTCGGGGGCCAGGAGCTCCCGCGTCCAGGGACGGACTCTCAGCTTTGAGCAGAGGTGTTCGGACGAGACCTGACTGTTCAGACGAGGTCTCTGGCGTGGGTCACTGCCTGTCCAGGAGCCTCCGCGCAGCCCCAGGAGAACAGGTCTGTGCTTGTCAGCCTCACCTGCTCTGGTCCCCTCTGCAGCCCCAGTTCTCGAGTTCCCCGAGACAGCTGCACACTGTCCCTGTTCTTTCACAGGCCAGCCCGCGGGGGAGGGGCCGGGGCCCAGCCACACGGCTGGTCTCTCCAGAGTGGCCAGGTCCCAACACAGGGCGGCCCCCTTCGCCCCACGGCACCACAGCAGCGAGACCACTGAGGGGACACCTGTGCTCAGCCCCCTCCTGTGCTCCCTCCCCGGACCTGGGGCCCCCTCGGAAACTCGGTGAGCCATCTTTCCTCTGTACATCACATTTATTGGCTTTCCCCAACTCCCAGGATGAACTGGCTGCAGGCCGGGTTGGGCTCTCGGCCTCCCAGGGTTGGCAGCGGGTGGGCTCCCCACCCCCCCACCCCGCAGAGCTACCCAGGTGAGCAGGCTCCACCCTAACAGCAGTCCTGGCTCAGGCCTAACAGCAGAGCCAGGCAGGCGTAGAGTGCACACGTGCGGCCCTGGGCCTGGGGCTCCCAGCACACCTGGGGAACGTCCACCTGCACCCCCAGGCCGCATTCCTCCAGCAGGACCCAGGCAGGTGCCTCTGGGTCCCAGCTGCTCCCCAGGAGCTCTTGTGGCAGGGACACATGCCTGCGCTCCTGCCAGGGGGTGCTCTGCTCCAAAACGCTCCCCACCTGCTAGAACGGGGAGGGAGGGTGCCAGTGAGCTACCCTTCCCCCGCCTCCCCCCAGCATCCAGCACCTGCCCACATCACTCCATCCTAGGAGCACCTGGGGCCCCACACCACAGGCCCAGCCCCTTCCCCTGCAAGCTGCAACCCGCGCTCTCTTACCAGTTTGAGCTGCCCGGACAGGCCTTCTGTCTCCAGCATCTCCACGAGCAGCTCATGCTGGCTCTCACTCAGCACTGGGGGGAGACTTCAGCTAAGAGGGGGTTCCAGAAGGACCCGCTGGACAAGCCCATATCCCTGCCCCTCCCTGCCTCAGCCCAGGAGCCTCTCACCAGCTAGCGCTTCCACCAGGTAGAGGATGGAGCCGGCCAGGTGCGTTTCCAGCTCTCCGGAGCTCTGCACCAGGCACTCGAGGAGGGCGTCCACTGGACCATCCAGGGGGGCCACCGACCCACAGCACAGGCCCTGTTCCAGCTGGGGACACGTGGAGGGGCCGGTGAGTCCGGGGGGGCCGGGCGCAGGCCCCTCCCGTCCGGCCCAGTCCCCTGGGCTGCTCACCGCGTCCTCCAGGGTTTGCAGGGCTGGCTCTTCCCGAAGCACCTGCACCAGGCCTGCCAGCAGCCGCTCGCACAGTTCCTTGGACAAGCCCTGCAGGACCTGGGCCTGGGCCCCCACCTCTGCCTGCAGGCCCCGGAAGTCTCCCGTGACCACCGACCAGTCCTCCGCAAACCCGTCTGTGGGGAGAGGGCCGGGACTGACCCTGGAGAGCCCTGGTTGGGAAGGGCGGACTCCCAGGGGGCAGAAAGGGGCGCCCACCCAGGTTCCCAGGGTTGTCAAGAAGGTACTGACCCGCCTGTATTTTGAAGCATCCGGAGAGCAGTGACTGGCTGCCTGCGCCTCTTGTAAGCTGGTGGCCTGGGCGGGGCAGGTGAGTCAGGGCGGGGAGCAGGCCCCGGGCCTCCCAGTGCATCGCCACCAGCCCAACACCAGCAGCCCGGCAGGCGTGAGGCTGGGCCAGGCCGGCGCTGGTGTTGCCTCAGAGCTCCCCCGGGCTGCGCGTGCGCGCGTGCGCGTGTGCGTTTACTCTCGCCACCGGTCCCCAGGAGCCTCCGGCTGAGCCGGGCTGTGCAGGAGGCCCCAGTCCGGGTGGCGGGGGCACAGGCCTCACCTTTCTTGGGCAGCCCGAAGGTCCTCTGCTTCTTGTGCTTCTTGTCCCGGAAGAGGAGGATATCTGGCAGCCAGGTGGGAGCAGAGATGGGGGGCAGGTCGGCCAGTGACCCCAGCCTCTCCCTCACCCCCGGCCTACCGGGCTCCTCAGCCGCCCAGGAAGCTGTGCAGCCGAGTGCCTGCCTCTGCCATGGGGCTTGGGCCCCAAGAGACACCCTAATTCCAGCTCACCCCAGTCTGAGTCAATAAGCAGCTGGGCCACCTGGAAGGCAAGGATGCTGCCTGAGGGGATGGTGACTGTCTTCTTCCGGCTCCGGTGGCCCTGGCCTTGGCCCTGAGGGATGGACGTGGGCTCAGGACTGGGCTCTGGGTCGTGAGGTTGGGTCGGCTGGGTGCTGGCGGCGGGGGGCTGCCTGGGGCACCCCCGCCTGCCTTCCCGCCCCCTGCCTGATCCATGGCCCATGCCGCGCACCTGCAAAGATAAGGCTCCAAGCAGTGCAAACTGGCCAGAGCCCTCCTGCTTACGGGTCTGGGTGACCTTCACCTCCTTCTGCGTCTGCAGCACCTCCGTCACCACGAACACGTCGTTCCCACAATTCCGCAGCTGCTGTAGGACCTTGTGCTCGGGCTGCCGCAGGCGCCTGTGGCAGGGGGTCGGCCTGGAAGCTGAGGGGGTGTGTCCCGCCCTCCCCAGCCCAGGGCCACGCTGCCGGGGGGCTGACGCGGCCCAGGCACAGGACTCCCATTATTCCCTCCCTGGTGGCTCCCAGTAGTGTTCGTGGGGCGGGGAGGGACGAGATCCAGGATGCTGAGTGGACACCTGCAGACCCCTGGAGATACCCGCCCCTCGGCCGGCCGCTTGTCTAGCTGCTTCTCCCTCCATTCCCTGCCCCTCCCTGGATTCAAATTTCAAATCTCTACCCTGAACTAATGATCCTCCTCAGGCTGTCCCTGTGTCTGCTCTGCTCCACCCCAGTCCTCAGGAGGCAGTCCCCCATTACCTCTGCAGCCGCCTTCCCTCTGCCGGGCTCAGCATGCCCCTGGGGACTGCCCCCCCGCCCCGGCCACTGTGCTGACCCTTGGCCTGGCACAGACACCCTGTGACTCCTGGCACTCCGGGGTTGTGACCCAGCAGCTGCTTGGGGTTGGCAGGGCCCCAGCCCCCGGGGGGCTCACCGCTCTTGCTTCATGGCGTCCCAGATGTTGGGGTCCACTTGCAGTGTGCGCACGTTCATTGAGATGCTGAAGTTATCAAACACCGCCGCCCCGCCTGCAAACCTCCCCCGTCCTGGGGCTTCTAGCTCCCCGCTGCCTTGCAGCTCCCCGTCCATGGAGTCGTAGACGTGGATGGGCGCACTTTGTTTCACAGCTAGAGCCAGACCAGAGCTGAGGCCCCGTCCTCCTGCCCGCCCCCCGTCCCACCTGGGCAGAGGGACCTTTAAAAAGGCCCTGTCCTTTGAAACCAGAAAGCCCAGAAGCCCAGAGCAGACAGCAGGCTGGCCAGTTGCCTCCCCTCCCAGCAGGCGGGGTACCTGGTTCTGGGGCATCAGGCTCCAGAATGTCCCTGATAGACAGGTTGATGCTCTTGTAGCGGGGTTTCCAGAACCACGATCTCGAGAGCTTCCTTCCCAACAAGTAGTAGGGCTGGAAGCTGGTGGAGCTCCGCAGGCTGTCCACGGGGATGAGCTCGCCGCTGTGGTCCAGCTCCCGGACCACACTCTTGATCACGCTCTCAAAGGCAGATGCCATTGCTCCTGAGGAGGATAGATGGGTCAGCCATGCTGCCCTCAGGGCTAAAAGAGAGGGGGATGGGGCAACAGTTGCTACTTGGATGCCTCCAATGACAGGGAGCTCTTTTCTCCACAGGCCGGTCCTGGGACGCTCTGACGGTCAGAAAACTCCTGCTCCTGATCATTAGCACAGAAAGAAACCCAGTGTCTACCCTGTCATGCATTGCAGCGTCTCTCCGTGGGGCTGGGACGGCATTCGCACCATCTGTACCATGGCCAGAGTGCCCACAGGGAGCCCGGGAAGGCGCTGGGACTCTCAGAGCTGGGGGGGAGGCAGCCCTCAGCCACCCCCAGAAACCTTTGTCACTTTGTCAGCCCAACAAGGCTTAGAGCCACTCCTGAAAAGCAGCCCCCGGGGGAGGGGAGGGCAAGGCAGGGGCCTCAGGGGGACCCCAGCCCAATGCTCTAGCTGCTGCATCAGCCGTCTCCCTGGCTGAGGTGTTCAGAGGGCAGAAGCAGCAGGAACCACCAAGCTTCTGGGGACTTGGCAAGGGGCCCCCAGCAAGGTCCAGCCACAGCATCCCCAGCTTCCAGGTACGTCCTCTAGGGCTTTTTCTGTGCCCAGAGTTCCATGAGCCACCAGTCCAAGGCTGAGGCTTCAGGGACCAGAGGCCAAAGCAGGCCTGACCCAGGACACAGGAGGCCTGGGCCCCGGGCCACAGGAGGCGGGCTTTCCCAGCCATTCTGGTCAGTAGGAAACCTCTGAGCCTCCGTGCTGGTCTGAATTCAGAGTGGGCCAAGGGGTACCTGGAAGGCACCCCCCCGGAGTCAAGCCCAAACCCAGATGCGCTTCCCAGAGGCCTCAGGCTTCCCTAAGTTGGTCTGGGATTGTGGGGAATCCTGGGAGGGTGCTGGGACCAGGTGATCCCCCAAAGGGCCGGCATCACCCCCACTGAGCATGAGCTCCACCCCCGCCCCCACCCCGGCAGCAGGGAATGGCATGGGCGCGAGGTGCAGCTCACCGTGACTGTCACCCCAGGCTCCGGGCCCGCGACGGCAGTCAGGTCCACCCTGCAGGCCCGAGTTGTACGGCTGCTCTGCTGGGGAGCTTGAGTAAGTGCACAGGGCGGGCGCCCAGACCCAAAAGTGAAACTTCAGTCTAGTGACGCCCAGCCGGCCGGCACTCCCAGAAACGCCCCAGCCAGTGCACCCCGCGGGGCCCCTCTGCCCGCTCCGAGTGGGGCCCGCCAGCGGCCCCAGCGCCCACAGCCCCCACCTCCAGCTGGTGGTACTTCCCGTGGTTTCCTGCTTTCAACTCAAGCCCATCAGACATTCCTCCAAAGGAAATGTGCAGAAGGTCAGCAAGCACCGCGAAGACGTTCACATCACGAACCAGCTGAGAGCTGCGAGCCCAACCCCGCTGAGAAGCGCCCCCACGCCCCACACCCCCTCTGCTGTCCCAGATCCCACCATGCAGGGGGGAGGGCGGGGAGGGGGGGAGAGACTGGGGCCCCCGCAGGTTCCACAGAGAACCACCCTCAGCCTCACCCCTCCTCTCCTAGCTGGGCTCAAAAGAAATGAAAACATAGGTTCGCACCAAAACCTGCCCGGGAAGGCTCACACAGCATTATTTGAAAAAACCAAAATGTAGAAACAACCCAAACGTCCATCAGCTGAGTAAAGGGCACGTGACATCCTCGGGAAGACCTAGGAGAGAAGGGCCGTCAGCCCTGGGAAGGCAGGCAGGACTGACGCGCTGCGACCCGAACGGGCACGGGTGGACCTCCAAAGCAGCAGGTCCGCAGACAGTAGACGAGCGGCGGCCGGGGCGGTGGGGGGGGCGGGGGTCGCAGCTAATACGTACATGGTTTCTCCTGAGGGGACGAAATCCTCTACAATCAATTGTGGTGCTGGTGTCTGACTCTGGATATGCTAAAGCCCGTGGAGTTTCGCACCTTAAGTGGGTGGATCGCGTGGTATGTGCCTTACGTCAGTAAAGCTGTCACTGGGAAAATCTGGGGTCGGGCTTCCACGCGCAGGCGGCCCCCAGCCCCTCGGCGCCCCTGCTGTCCGGGTTGTGGAGACTCGCACCCCGCGGGCTCCTTCTCCCACCGCGTCCCGCCTCGCGCTGACCCGGGACGCTCCCGAGCCCTCACCAGAGCCCCTCCGCGGGCCTCGCACACCCTGAGCTCCCCCACGCTCCCACTCAGTCCGCACACAAACCCGTAAGCCATCCCTGGGGGGTCATGAGGCCGCTGGGGCGGCTCCCGTCCCCAGGCCCCGAGCCCGGGGCGCAGGCCTGCGGGCTCTCCGGGGCGGCGGGTAGAGGTGCTGCTTGGCGCGGGGCCCCGTCTGCCGGTGTGAAGAGGTGCCCTCGGCAGCGGGGAGGCTCCGAGGGCCTGAGGAGCTCGGGCCGGGAGTGTGCGTGTGTGTGGTCTGTGTTCGCGTGTACGTGTGTTCCTGCGTGTCTGTTGCGTGTGCGGATACGTGTGCCCGTACACGGTGGTGTGCGTCGTGTGCCGTCACGCGTTGGGGGCCGCAAGGCCTACCACGGCCTCTGCTGTCGATGCCAGGAGGCTGTCCTACGTGGGGTCCTCTCCCCTGCAGGCAGCCTGCCTCTTTCCCTGCTCCTGCGCGCGGCCGCCCCGGCACTGGGTCTGAGGCAGGGGTGCCAGGCAGGAGCCCTCCGTGGGCGGGAGGGGCCGCACGCTGGCCACGTTGGCCACGGCAACCACGGACGGTGGCACACAGGGCCCCCCTGCCTCGAGGCTGTTACCTGGGGCTGCCACGCCTCAGGCTGGGTGGGGTGGGGCCAGGGCACGGCTGCTGTTCCCATTTTCAGTTCTTCAGCAATAGCCAAAACAAGAGGGACTCCTGACTCCTGCCAGAGGACAGAGGTCAGCCTGACGGGGCAGGAGAGAGCCTGCTGGGGAGAAAAGGCGGAAAGAAGGTGGGAGGGGCTGGCCCTGCACCCCATCCCCTCCCTGGCTCCCATTCGAGAGGCGAAGGGTGGGCGCCATTCTGTCCTCCTCGAGCCCTAGGTTGCACTGAGGTAGGTAAGGCCGCCCGGCCAAGGCCTGGGGGTCCACAGCCAGAGAGCACACACGTCTCTGAGGGCAAGCCGTGACCCCAGACGGAGCCAGGGAAGGCACTTCCGTCTGTGCGCCTGGAGGGGTCAGCAAGGCCGGCTGCCCCAAGGTGGAGGAAGCTCTGGGCAACCAGGGACTCGGCCTCCGCCCACCGGGTGTGCGGGGCTGGGGCAGGGCGTGGCAGTGGCAATCCAGCGCAGACCCTGCCCTGGGGGTGCCCAGCCCCTGGCAAAGGGCTTTCAGATCCCAGAGATAAGCCCGAGAGCTCCGGTGGGAGCGGCCCCATCGCGGAGGGGATGGGCGAGCGGCCGAGGCAGCTGAATTCCAGGCTCAGGGTGGCGTGCACCAGGGCAGGCGCCAGGGGCAGCAGGTTCCACGGGTCCACGATGGGGGCCCATGCAGCGCCCCCACCCCCACCCGCCTGTGAGTGGGAGCCGCCCAGGCCCGCTCCACCCAGCGCCGGCCCTTCCAGGGACATTCCCCGGCTTCCTGCGGTGCCGGAAAGTCGGCACCCACGCCCTCCGCAGGCTCCCACGGGAGGCTGGGCTCCCCTTCCTCCCACCTGGTGCCTACGTCTCTGTCCCGCCCTCGGGGCCACTGGGAGCCCTTGCTGGCGGCTGCTGCAGGGCCAGATGGTGCTAAGCGCAGACAGAAGCCCCAGAAGTCCCATCTTGTGGGGACTGAGTCCCCCGCAGGGCATCCCTCCCGCCAGTGCCACGGCCACCCGTCAATAGCCCGGACGCTGGGGCGCATCTGCCCAGCACTGCTCAGTCAACGGTGGGCAGATCTCCGGGGGGGTGGGGGGGGACGGGTCAGCCCCAGAGCAGGGCAGCGTCAGTTCAGGGGTGCCCCAGGAGTCAGGAGGGGCGTGGACGGCAGGAAGGCAGCGGGCCGCTGCTTCCTTTCAGAGTCCCCTGCCCTGGGACCTGCTGTGATCTCTCTGGTCCCCTGAGCTGTCTGCCTGCTGGGGCGGGGGCCACAGAAGCCCGTCCCACCCCAACGGGGCCTCTGCCCGAGGACGCGCACCCCTTGCTCTTGCTTCTGGTTTTCCGAGCCTCACTCTGCCCCAGCTGGGAGAAGTGCTCACTGCTGGAGTCCAGGCCTCGCTGGGGCAGGAGGGGAGTAGTTATCCGCTGGACACTCTAGTGCTGAGGTTCACTCAGTACTGGGCCTGTGGAGGGTGGTCTTCGTGAGATTCATCCATCCTGGTCCCTGAGAGCCTTGTGGAAATGCTGCGATTCTGGGAACAGGAGACCGAAACACTTTTCTCCTAGAAGGATCTGGCCCAGAGGGTCTGAGAGTCGTGCTTTCTGGCGAGGGTTAGGTGTGGGGTGGATGCTGGGGTGAAGCAGGGGTCCATAGGGCCCCTGAGAGCATTTGTCTTCCACAGTAACGTCCTGCTCCCTTCCCTCTGGAATGAAAGGTGAGGGGGCATCCATGGGGTAGTGGTCCCAGCCTGCCCACCACCTGTTCCCACCTGAGGACTCCCACCTGCTTGCATATCTAGAGGGAAGGAGTTGGCAGGAGGGTCCCCAAGGGCTCGGGTGGGGGGAAGCAGATAATGCAGGACAGACTGGACGTTTTCTGCGTATTCCCTGACAAAAGTGCACTTGGCTACACCGCATTCCCTTTGGGGAGGTGCTGCGCTCCGGGGTAGCTTTATGCTGTGGGGCCGGGCGGAAGTGGCTGTGGTGGGACGAGCTCAGGAAGGAAGCAGCCTGCCTGGCTGCAGGGCGGAGAAAACACGCAAAGGGAAAGGGGAAGCTGGGTGTGGGAGAAGGTGGGGGCCGCCAGGGCTCGGGGAGAAGACAGCCCTGCGAGGAGAGAGAAGTCCTTCACAACGGACGCGGGCACCTGGGCAGCCCTCTGGGAAGGAGCACCTCGGGGTGGGGGAGAAAGGCTGCCGGCAGTGTGGGTGGTCAGCAAGAAGGCAGCACGGCGGGGGAGACGGCCACCTAGCGGCCGGCCCAGGATGTGCAGGACGGGGAGGCCCAGACAAGGACCTGTCCCTCAGATGGAAGTGACCCCGGAGACGGTTGGGGCACCTGAGTGTGCTGATGTCTTGACACCAGAGCAGGGCCGGGCATGCTGTAAAGAGCTATTAACAGGCTAGGTATTGTTGTCTGGTGTTCATACAGAATGTGTCATTTGAGGGGAATTCCTAAAAATGCAATTACTCAGAAAGTACTCAGGGTCTTGGCACACATTGCAAATTGCCCTTCAGAAAGGCTATGCCGATGTCCAGAGTAAGCAGTGTGAGTTTCTGCCCCCCTGACGCCCTGAGCCAACACTGAAGGCAGATTGGTTTCATTTTTGCCAGTCTGATGGGCGTCAACGAGTTCTGAATGTAACTGTTAAGATAGATTTTAGTAGGTTAACTGTGACAGCACTTACATTCTACTTAGTTTCTCAGCCCTAGGAGACGAATCTCCACACCGTGCGTCCTCTTGGCAAGTGGCCGGGCTCTCCTCTCCGCCACCCCTGGACCGGACAGCTTGTCCAGACACCCCTGGTCCAGACGCAGAAGAGAACAGGCTCAGTGCTAGACTCACGAATCTCGGTTTGTGCTGTGTAAGAAATTACCCCAAACCTTAGTGGTGTCAACAACATCTGCTCATTCACTCACAGATGCGTGAGCTGCTCTAAATTATGCCATTAGGCTGGACACAGCTGAAATGGATCATCTCTGCTCCACGGGGTATCGCCTGGGTTCACGGCTTTGGAGTTAGCTGGCAACTAATCCTCTCATGTGTCTGGCTGATGGCTGACCATCAAAAGGGTCAGTGGTATAACTGGACACGTGCTGTCCCTCCTCTATATCCAGCCAGCCCTGACTCGTTCACAAGGTGATGGTTGTAGGGTTCTCAAGAGAAGGAACACAAGTCAAGCCCAAAGGAGTGCTTTTCAAGATCCCTCGTGGGAAATTTCATCTCACTGAGAACGCCCCTCCCCTGCCCTCAGAGTCTTGCCAAGACCTAAGGATCTTACGCCAGTCCTGATACATAAGTCACCCTGAGCCTGTCCACAGGGCCTCCCTCCTAGGGTGCCTCTGGCTGCTTGTGGGGGAGGAAGAGGGAAGGGGAGAGATGGACACTCTAGTTAGGGTTCAGCCAGGACAGTGGCAGTGGGAGAGGAGGAGGGGTCAGGACAGAGGATGGCCAGGCCTGGGTGGTACTTGCAAAGGGACCAGAAAGGGCACAGGAAGTAAAGATGGTTCCAGATCGGTTGTGCCTCCCCTCAAAGACATCTGGGTTGGGAGGGATGCCCAGCTGGGGTTCCGCCCCTTGCCAGCCGGCCAGGGCAGGCTGCTCTTCTCAGCCTGGCATGCCACCACTGCAGAAGAGTCCTTCAGAGTGTCCATCGCTGTCTGCGAAGCGGGGCAGCACTCAGCCCTGGAGGAGCTGAGGCACTAACCTGGAGGCGGGTCGTGGGCGGTCACCTCCAGCAGACAGCGCCTGTGAACCCCTCGCATCATTGTTGGCATATGTTTTGCTTCTACATGTGGGATAAGCCGCCATTATTTTTTATGGAAAACTTCATGAATCTGTGTGTCATCCTGGTGCAGGGGCCATGCCAGGGTCTGCCGCCGTGAGCGCTGATGGTATGTTATCATTGTTACTACTCACACTTTCATTATTTTTTGCTGTAACTCTTTATTTTAGAGGATGTAAGAAAGGAGGGTTAACATTTACTAGCAAACTTCCACTCTCTGCCCTCTGCACGTATGTGTCTCCGCGCCACATCATCTCCCTTCCGCCTGAAGAATTTCCCGTAACACTGGCTATTGTGCGGGTCTGCGGCAAACACGTTGTGTCCGTTCCATTTTATTGTGGCAAAAAAATCCCAACACAGACGACGTCCTGCGACTATTTTCAAGCGTCCAGTTCAGTGGCGCTAAGGACACCCCAGTACTGCACGGCCACCGTCCGGGCTGTCCACACTTCCTCCGCGCTCCAAACAGAAACCCTGACGAAGCGCTTGGTCTGCACGCCCCCTCCCACAGCCCTTGTCAGCGCTGCCCGCGTGCCGGCTGGGTCCGGTGGCCGACTCCGGGCGCTTCACGTGGGGGGAGTCACGCGCCCGCGGCCCTTGCTGACCGGCGTCCTTGGCGTCGCGTGGCCGAGGCCGGCCCATGGGGCAGAGAGCCTCCCTCCGCAGGGCTCACTCGGCGCGCGGCGGGGCAGCCCACACGGGGCCGTGCCGGCACTCTCACGCCTCCAGGGCGCCCGCCCGGGGCAGGCGGCCGCTGGTCATGTGCTCCTCTTCCTAATTTTTTGAGGAAGCTCCGGGCTGCCTTCGCAGCGGCGGCACCATTTCACACCCCCCGCGGAGCACAAGTCGGTGGGCACCTGTTTGTTCCCGACCCAGGGGCTCCTCGTTCTCGGCCTTCCCCTGCGCCGGCCCACGGAGCAGCGTTAACAGCGCCACCACGTCGCCCCGCAGAGCCTCCGGAGTCCAGCTCTCCGCGGCTCCCGGCCTCGTCCTACGCGGAACGGCAGCCCGCGGCCCGGGGCCCGCTGCGGCCGCCCCAGGCCCGGCCCACCCGCTCGGTCGCCGCCCCGTCCGGGGCGCTCGCGCCACTTGCCGGCGCTCCCTGCCGACGTATCCGGCCCTCGCTCCGCGCGCGCGGGGCCCCGCCTTTCCGCGGCCGTTGCCAGGACGACGGCGCGGCCCTCGCGGCCCAGCCAACGCCCGGGCCTGGCTGCAGTGCGCAGTCTCGGCGCTCGCGCGGGCCCCGCCCCGCCCCGCCCCCGGCCCGGCCCGACTCCGCCCCGACTCCGCCCCGACTCCGCCCGGCCCCCGCGCCCCGCCCCGCCCGAGGGGGAAAACAGTCGCGCGGCGATGACGTCGCGGGGGCCTGGCCGGGCGTCGCGGACTCGGGAGATGGAGGAAAAGGAGCAATTACGGCGACAGATCCGTCTCCTGCAGGGTGGGTCGGGCCGGGCCCCGGGCGCGCGTCCCCCTCGCTACCCCTGCCCGCCTCCCCGAAGGGGGTCGCTCTCCGCCTGCGGTCGGGGGGGGGGTGGGCGGCCTGGCGGGGCATCCGGGCCGGTCGGGGTCAGCCCCTTGCCCGAGGTTCGCCCGACGGGTAGTGCGGCTCCTTCAGCGCTCGGCGGGTGGCGGCGGGGCCGTCGCTTAGCAACCGCCGGGAGGCGCCCCCTCGGCGCCCTCTCGCTCCCGGTGCCAGACAGTGGGGCGGAGGGCAGAACCCCGGAGCCTCGTTTGGCTGCGCCCGCCCTACGCCCACGTTCCCCCTGGTATTCGAGGCCCCGACTGCCCAGGCCTGGTTTCCCAGCTTTTCCATTTTTAGACCCTACTTGAGGTCTCTGTACCTAACAATTTCCCGTTTGAAGTTCTCCCTTAAGGAGAAGACTTGAGGAATTGGAAAGCGTGTGTGGGGGAGAGTCCAGGCGGGCGGTCCAGCCTTGAGGAGGCTTCTTGGGCCCCTGCGTGCGCTGGGGTGTCGGCGGGTCAGGACATGGCTTTCTTTGGGCCTGGGGACAGGACTCTGAGGGGGGAGCGCGTAAGTGCGGGGCCAGCACTGGTTTGCTGGCGGAGTGCTCACCCCCTGGGTTGTTCCGCTGAGGCCCCTGCCCCTCCTGCCCCGGGACGACCGTGCAGGGGCTTCCTTGGAAGACCCGTGCTGTCGGGGCTCCAGTCAGGCCTCTTCTCCCCTTAGAGGAGGACAGTGTGACATTCTTGTCAGCCGTGGAGGCTCACGGGTGTCCGTTGTCTCACGCTCATTGTCCCGTGTGCCAGGCGGGGAGATTACTAAGGTGCACCCCCGGCCCGGTTCCACCCGTGGGCAAGCCAGAGGGCCTCTGCGGCTGAGTGGCTCCCTCGCCGAGGCGTTACGGCCTGGGGGGTGGCATCCATGTGCCCAGTACCAGTGGGGCTGGGCTTACTGCTCTCCCGTATAGCTGAGCAGTGGGGGCTCGGCCAGTGAGGACAGGTGGAGGCAGGTGCCGACAAGCCGCCCCTCTGTCCTGTTGGTGAGCCTCAGAGTCCTTGCTGGTGTCTTCATGTCGAGTGACGCGTCCCCTCAAAGGAGTGTGGAAGCAGTATAATAATATTCCTGGTAAATTAGAGATATCTTGCCACGGGTGCATTTTTGGGATGAACAACCAGAAGTAGGACTGAAGTATAGCTGGTGGGAAAAGGCTCATGGAAGAGATGGGCCGAGGGAACGTCCGTGGTTCTCAGGCTCTAGGGGCTGCCTGTCCTGTGCTGCGGCCTGGCAGGGGCTCAGGAGTGAGGTGGGGTCTGTGGGGCATCTTGTCAGCTGATGCACTTCCAGGGGACTGTTGCTGATTTCACGCTCACCCTCTGGCTAACTGAGCCTGTGATTCTGCCTTCTCAGGTCTGATCGATGACTACAAAAACCTCCATGGCAATGGCTCTGCCCCCGGCACCTCAGCTGCTTCCCGGTGGCCACCACCTGCTTACAACAGCAGCAGGGCCTTCAGTGCCTGCTACCCTCGCCCAAGCCGGAGGGGCTTCTCCCCGAACCACGGGCCTGCGTGGCGCAAGAAATACTCCCTTGTGAATCGGCCCCCGGGACCCTCAGACCCACCCGGTGACTGTCCTGTGCCGCTGCCCCGCAGGGCTGGGGGCAGCCAGGGTCCTGACCCCCAGCAGCATGTCCTGGAGAGGCAGGTGCAGCTTAGTTCAGATCAGAACATGGTCATCAAAGTCAAACCACCATCAAAACCGGGTTCGGCTAGTGCTGCAGGGGTCCCTCGGGGCTCTTTGGAAGAATTTGAGGACCCCCCCGGGAGCGACCACAGGCCTCAGGAGGGTGAGGGCGAGCCCCCGGGGGGACAGCGGCAACCCCCAAAGCCAGGAAGAGTCAAGGGGAGCTGTGGTGCAGAGGACCCCCTTCTGGTCTGCCAGGAGGAGCCTGGCAAGCCTCGGGTAGTGAAGTCCGTGAGCAGCATGAGTGACAGCCCCTCAGAGCCCCGGCGGACTGTCAGTGAGAGTGCAGTTGCCGTCAGGGCGCGCTTCGCAGCGTCCACCCTGCCCCAGCGCAGTGGCGTGGCTGTGGGCCGGAAGGTGGGCTCACACTCTGTGGCCAGCTGTGCCGCGCGTCTCCTCGGAGATGGGAGAGCGAATGCTGGCCACACAGATCAGCCAGCTTCCGCTGGTGTGGTGGCCGGCCCAGCCAGACCAGCTTCTGGACCCAGGCAGGCCCGAGAGTCCTCACTGCTTGTGTCCTGCCGGACCAACAAGTTCCGGAAAAACAACTACAAGTGGGTGGCCGCTTCAGCGAAGAGCCCCCGGGCCACTCGGAGGGCCCTCAGTCCCAGAGCAGCCTCAGAGAATGTGGGCAAGGCCCCCTTTGGCACAGCAGAACAGGTGGAGAAGCCACAGCTCAGAGCTGATCCGGATGCCAAGCCCAGGAGGTCGGCTGCGTCCTCCACGGCTGGGGCCTCCCCCAGCAAGTACAAGTGGAAAGCGTCCAGCCCCTCGGCCTCCTCATCCTCCTCCTTCCGTTGGCAGTCAGAAGCTGGTAGCAAGGACCACGCCTCCCAGCTCTCTCCCGTCCCGTCTCGGTCCCCCTCGGGGGACAGGCCAGCAGTGGGACCCAGCGGTTTGAAGCCCCTCTTCAGCGAGACCCCGCTCTCGGCTTACAAAGTGAAGAGCCGCACCAAGATCATCCGGAGGCGGGGAAGTGCTAGGTAGGCGCCCCTGCCACCACCCCAGGGTTCTGTCGGGGCAGGCCCAGGCCTCTAAGCTCCCTGCTTGGTACACAGAGCCCGTGGGAGGGCCCACCTGCAGGAGTGTGGGAGGAGAAGCAGCAGCATCTGCTGCTGGGTCAGGCCTGGGGGGTGGCATCCATGTGCCCAGTACCAGTGGGGCTGGGCTTACTGCTCTCCCGTATAGCTGAGCAGTGGGGGCTCGGCCAGTGAGGACAGGTGGAGGCAGGTGCCGACAAGCCGCCCCTCTGTCCTGTTGGTGAGAGACCAGAGGCTGCTGGGGCAGCTTTGGTTCGGGGTCTGCGGGGTTTGTGGATGATTGCTTTATTCCCGGGCCAGACATTGGGTGAGCAAACCGAGGGGGCACCAGGGAGGAAGTCTGCCCCCTTGGCGGCCAAGTGACCAGGTGAGTCACTGTCTCACTGAGTAGATATCACATCCCTGGCCCTCCACCCTCAAGGACTGTGAGGAGGCTAAAAAATGGCATTGAGGCTCGGCGCTTGGTCTGGGGTCAGGGGCTCAGTCACGGCAGCTGTTGACTGCAAGGGCAGAGAGCTGTTCTCACGCCGAGTCCCGCTCTGGAGGTCCGTCCTGCTGCCTGACCTTGGTCTTTGGCCACGTTATGTGGGCTCTGCCGCCTTTTCTGTACAGAGGCCCTTCTCTGTGTCAGCTGTTGTGGAAAGGGGAGCCGTGAGAAGTGGTCCCTCCTGCCGAGATGGCTGGGGAGGTGGGGGGCAGCCCCTTCTCTGCTGTGGCTCCGTGGGGCCTCCCCAGCCCCACGGGAGAGGTCCTCTGGCCTGGGGAGCCGGAGGTGGGGGCCAGGGGTGGGGCCGCCCTCGCTCTGGGCCGGCTCCAGGCTCCGCGGGGGAGGGGAGGGTAGCAGCTCCCAGGCAGCCGCTGCTGATGAGCTGCGAAGGCTGGGGCCCGCTGCAGCTGGCTGCCTCCTGGGGTGGGTTCCGTGGGGCCAGGGTCTGGGTGGGCGAGGGTGGAAGGGGACAGCCGCCCCACTGGGGGAGCCCCTTGGGAGCTGCCTGCTTTTTGTCTCTGCAGCCTTCCTGGGGACAAGAAGAGCAGCCCCCCACCTGCTGCCACTCCTAAGAGCCAGTTCAGCCTGCGGCGGAGGCAGGCCCTCCGGGGAAAGAGCAGCCCCATCCTGAAGAAGATGCCCAACAGGGGCCTGATGCAGGTCACCAGGCACCGACTGTGCTGCCTGCCTCCAGGCCGGGCCCACCTCCCCACCAAGGAAGGTATGGCCAGGAGGAGGGGTTCTGGAAAGCTCGCTGAGCCAGGTCTGTGAGCCTCACCTCTCCCTCCGTCTGCACTGGCGCTGCTCGCCTGTCAGGAACCACCTTCAGCATCCACCTTGCTCTGTCAGCGCTCCAGCCCGAGAACGCTCCGCCCGGTGGGCAGGGGGTGGCTTGGGCTGGGGAGCAGAGGAGAAGGGCTGGGCCACTGTACCCCGCACCTGGGTGGGGAAGATGCCGCTGGGCAGGTGTGTGGTGGCCTTTTTAGTGCATCTCTACTGTAGACCTAGTCACATCCGTCGTGGTGGAAGGAGCCAGCAAGTGGATGAGAGGGTGGGAGCCACGCAGGCCTGCAGGGAGAGGAGGGGTGGTTTATGCTGCCCGGGGCTCCCCTACCCTAGGCCTCTGCTGCCTGTCCTCCTCTCCCTGTCGGTTGCTGCCTCTGCCTCCGGAACCCTGAGCTGGCCTGGGAGGAGTCCGCGTTGCGCACTTCCTGAGTCGCGAGTGTTTAGTGAGGGGTGAAGGGTAGTGGGGGCGTCACGCGCCGTGGTCCCCCGCCCAGTGCGGTGATGGCAGCACACTGAGGGAACTGGCACACGCCGGTGGTCAGGGGTGGGGGGGTCTCTGGCCGTCGGGGGCAGGGAAGGGGGAGGAGGTCACCTGTGACGCTGTGTCCTGGCGGGCCCGGGCTCCTCCGGGCGGACCGGGTCCCATGGTAGCCCTGTTTTCTCCCCATTGAGCATCTGGTGGATGCGTGGCAATGGCTGTCCAGGCTGATGCACGTGGAGTCTGGAGGTGATGGGGTTTGGACCCTGGGCAGTCGGACTTGGGACTTGTGCCCTAATGGCTATTTTGTGCCGGGCGTTTGGGGAGCCCACAGAGGGGCCAGCAGGGCTTTGCCCGGGAGGAGGCGGTGCCTGGCAGAGCCGAGCGCCTGCATGGGAGCTGGTGGCAGGAGAGCGGGGCATAGGGGCCACGAGAAGGTGTGAGAAGTGAGGCTGGAGGGTGCTGGCCACCCACCTGCCCTCTGGCTGCCACGGTGAGTGTGGACCTGGACGCAGGTGGACAGAGCAAAGGGAGCCCCACGGTGTCCCCTGGTGGCCACGGCGAGGGGGCTGGATTGAGGCTTGGGCTACGGCTGCAGGACTGACTGGGAGCGGACAGAAGGCTGTGGATGGACCGATGGCCAGGCTGTCCCAGGCCTGACGGGGGAGGACAGGGAGGACGGGTTGCGAACGCCCCTCGCTTTGGGAGGCTGGCAGGGGGTGGCTGAGTCCCCAGGGAGGTTGGGGCAGCCCGGAGAGAGGTCAGGAAGTGGTGCCCAGGGGCCTCCGGGCCTTCGCGGGGATTCATGGCTCCGCTCAGCTCCTGTGTCACATGTTGTCTCGGTCGGCAGAGAGGTCTGGCTGAGTGGAGGAGAAGTGCTGACGGAGGTCTGTCCCCGCAGAAGAGCCATCACACGGGGACGGCCACTTGTGGGCAGTGACGGCGCTCAGGCTTGGCTGCGGCGGGGGGTGTGTCCACGGGCCCCTTTGCATCCTGCTCCAGGTGCTGGGGCTGCAGAAGGCACGAGGCTCTCCTGAGACCTGCAGCCTAGCCCACGGGGCACTGAGCCATTTCCATCGTGATTTGCCACAGGGAGAGTGGCTCGGGGCAAATGGAGACGGGGTGGCCGGGCCAGGGGCCTCAAGATGGCGGTATTTCAGTGACTTGAGTTACAGGGTTGTGGTGTGAGGTGGTTTGGGGAAGGAGTGTCCCAGTCCGAGGCTGCTTGCCCTGGGACCAGAGCACTCTGGAGCGCCGGATTCCTGGGCTGCCGCTGAGCGTCAGGCCTCCTCGCTGGGCCGTGCTGGGCGTCAGGCCTCCTCGCTGGGCCGTGCTGGGCGTCAGGCCTCCTCGCTGGGCCTGGAAGCAAGTGCTCGTGGAGCAAGTGCCGAGCTAGGCATTGCGCGGGACAGGGTTACAGCAGATGGGGCCCTGCCAGGGGCTCCTTGTCCTAATGCTGGGGTGGCACTGAGGGGTTGGTGGGGCGTCCCAGGCGGGCACACTTTGACCTCTTCGGTCCATGCTCTTGGTGTTGCCGCCCTCCAGGAGTTGAGCAGAGTTGGTCTTGACTGTGGCCTGGCCGGGCCTGTCCTGTCCCTGCTCCCAGGGAACCTGGTTTGGGGGCAGACAGGCCTGAGCCAGACCATGGCCGTCCCCTTTAGCAGGTACCCCGAAGGAAAGAGCACCACTGGGTTGAGGAGCTCCTCCTGTCTTGTGTGCTGAGGGCCTGCAGCTGAGGAATCCTCTCCAGATGGGGCAAGAGGTGGACAACACCCGGGACCCTGCACACACAGCTGAGCTTTTGCAGCTGCTCCCAGCAGGAGGTCCCTGGCGCGGCCGGGGCTGGAGTGGGGGCTGCCCAAGGCCCGGCTTCCTACAGGGGCTGCTGGCTGGCTGAGGGGCCACTGCGGGGAGCAGGGCCCTGGCCACACGGGGGCTGGCCTCCTCCCATAGTGACGCAGGCCAGGCGTTCTAGGACACTCACTGGCCGCCAGCGGACAGCAGCCTGGAGGGTTGAGGGGCCAGCGGAGACGCTGGGTCTGCAGATTAAAGGGGGCCTGGAAGGTGGTGTGCATCCGCCCTGGAGCTGTGCCTGCAGGCTCGGCCCGCTTGCTTGTGTGCTGTGCTCACTGGGCCTGGGCTGGCTGGTTCTCTCGTTAGGCCTGGAGCAGTGCCAGGCACAGGCTGGGGTGTGGAGGCTGCCTCCTGCTGGTAGCGTGGGCGCAGTGCGGGCGCCAGTGCGGAGGGGCTGACACGGTCCCTGCCTTCATACTTCTCTCTACTGGGAGGTGAGCGGGTCAGTTTGTGGTTATAAACGGTTGTGATAACTTGGCACAGACTGCCCTGGGAGGACTGTGAAAGGTGGGGGAGAGTCCTGCTGGGGGAAGGGCTTACAGAAGGCTACCACTCACTTATCCACTTACCCATCCCCTCCATCCATCCATCCATCCGTCCATCTGTTCATCCATCCATCTGTCCATCCGTCTGTCTACCCTCCATCCACCGTTCATCATATATCTGTCCACCTGTTTATCCACGTATCCATTCCCCCATCTGTTCTGCCCTTGTCTGTCCTCCGTCCATCCCCCATCCATCCCCCATTCATTTGTTCTCTGTCCACCATTTGTTCCCCATCCGCTCCCCCATCCGTCCAGCAAGCAGGCATGGCGTAGCTCTGGTGCAGGGAAGTGTGCTGGTCCCGTGGGTACTGTGCAGGCTGGAGCCACATTGCAGTCGTCAAGACAGCTACCTGGGTACTTGTAAATAAGCTGAAAAGATACTCTCGGGTGGTAAACATGCTCAGAGGAAAAGGAAGTGGGGTCACAGAGAGCTGCGGGGAGGGCGGGCAGCTGTAGTCAGGCAGCTGGCGTCTCTGAGGAGGTGACCTCCAAACTGAGGCCTGCATGAGGACAAGGAGGGGTGAACGGTGCGCCTCTCTGCGGGTGACGGGCACAGGTGGGATGAGCTCTCCCATGTTGCAGGAGCAGAGAGAGTCCTGTGTGGCGGGCGTGGGGGGGGTACTGAAGCCAGAGGGAAGGCAGGACCCACATGATGGGAGGGTCCCGTAGGCCACAGTAAGGGGAAGGGGGTGGTTCTGGATACAGGAGAGGAGGCACCTGGGAGCTGCATGAATGTGCTCGGGATGTGGCTGTGTCAGGGGCCCAGGAGTGTCCAGCAGGCCTTGAGGGGGCAGTGAGCCAGGAGGAGCCTTCGGAAAGGTCTTGAATGCCGGGCCAAGGAGTGGGGTCCTCATTCTTAGAAATGGGCAAGGAGCTCGTGGAAGAGGCTTGTGCACAGGCCTGAAACGCTGGGCGGGCGGCTCCTGAGACTGGCAGAGGCGGCTTTGGTGGGGACAGGAGTGAGGACAAGCATTTCCCTGGGCTGAGGACTACTAAGGAGTCAGTGGGTGGCTCCCCCATGCACCTCCTTCTGCAAGGTCCACAGGCTTCCTTCTCCCTCCTTCTCCCTCCTTCTCCCTCCTTCTCCCTCCTTTCCCTGCTCCACCTTCCTGTCCCCAGGCCCCGGGCTAGAGCCCCCCGGGCAGGCCCCAGCCAGCTGTCGGCTGCCTCCCACACAAGTTTTCATTTGATGCTATGGACATTTGGGGTGCAGACCCTGGGCTCCGGGGCTCCAGGCCGGCTGGCAGTGCCTCCCTACAGGTGAACAGGCTGCGTCGAAGCTTCTCTTCCCCGTTTCCCCCGACAGATCATTGGCCCAGGTCCAGACTTCCGTGGAAGCTGTGTAGGGGAGGGGCCTGACCCCCAGTGGGCTCCTGCCCGGTGGAGGGAGGCAGGGCGAGGGGCAGGTCCCTTCCCCAGCCCCGCCGGGCCGCCAGTGGCCAGCAGAGGGCGCACTCGCCCCTCTTATCCCTCAGTCCACCTTTTTCTGGTAATTGATTGCCTAATTTCCTCTTTATGTGAAAGAAAGCAGATATCAAGTAATTTGTGGCAATAACCTGCTAATGCTAGGCCAGTATCGAAACTCCCCTGTTCATTTCAAGTGGCAGATAAAACACTAATACATAATTATCCTTGCAAATTGGATTGTTTTAAATAACCAGAAGGCTGTGGCCAGGAGAGAGCGGCCCCATCTCCCTGGAGTTCCTGTTCCCGTGTAATTGCCGCGCTCAATCAATTTCCCTGGCATTAGAAATTCCATCACAATCAACATTAAGCTTTATTCATTGTGATGGCTAAGAGTCGGGCCATTTCTCCTCTTTTTCTTAACTGGCAAAATTAATCAGGGAAAAGATTTTAAACATTTACCCGCGCGAAAGAGGTCAGCTCTGCCGCTATATTGCTCAGCAGATAAGGGGGCTAATAAAAAGAAAATTGAATTACTAATGATCACCAGGAACAGAGTATATAAAACCTGGCAATCGCCGGTTCAGGAAAAGGGAGAATCAATTTTCTTGGGACAAGGTGGGCTCATTTTTTATTTTGGTGCATGTTATCAGC